CCCCCCCCCCCCCCCCCCCCGATAAGCGTGTGTGTCTGTGTACAATGACCGAATGGGTGCAGACGCTCATCAACACCAAGCGCGAGCAGGAGGGCCTCCTCTGCCCAGAAAACGGCAAAAGACGCATGGGATTCGGTACACCATGGGGGGCCCAGAGAAGCCCCTGTGCACACGATGGCCTTGTCATGTGTGCAGGTATCTGTTGGAAGCGCCGGTCTGACTATGCGGCCGCGACGCAGGGTGGCGGATACTTCATGGTGCAGCTCAAGTCGGCCGGCAGCGGGCCGGCCCGACAAGTGCGATACTTCCACGTCAAATGGAACACACTAGGTGCGGCCAGCCAGCCCGAAGCTACACACAGAATGGATGACGGAATGTATGGGTCTGTTGGTCAGGTTGTCTGAACCAGACGTTTCAGGAGGCTGTGACGTTCCGCGATGAGTACCGGGCCGCCACACAGGGTATGCACACGCTAAGCAATCCACCCACTCACCCTCACACCGCATGTGTGTGTATGCATGTGTGTGTGTCATCAGATGGCTTGCTGCCCCCTCCGCCCGAGATGCTGTCTCAGACACTGGAGAAGCACGATGAAGAGAACGACCCCACACCACCGCCCAGCCCCACTCAAGAAGGCAAGTCTGCCAATTCCCACCATACGCACACCACACACACACACGTCAGTCTGTCTGTGTTGTTGCAGGTATGGAGGTTGACGACATGATGCGTGAGAAGGCCCGGCCGCTGTCCAACGAGGTGCGCACGCGTGTATGTGAATCCACATGGCCGGCCTTTGTGTAAATGCACATGCCACGCAGGATTTGGGGCGTTTGGCACAGCGGATGATCGACCAACAGAGACAGGCCGAGGGATACCTCGACGAGGGCGGCAAGTACGTAACCAACGAACACGCACACACAAGCCACAAATTATCACATGGTGCCCGCGTGCCTCTCTGCAGGCGTCTGAAGGGTTTCAATCTGGTGTGGAAGAAAAAGGCCAGACAGTTCGTTGTCAAGGTGCGCCACAGCAGAGGAGACACACAAACTTCTTCAAACTAAACACAGACGCGTCACATACACACAGAGATTTGCACATCCATGTGTGTGTTTGTGTGTGCAGGTGAGGCTGCCCGGCAGCGACAAGGTGTCGGCCAAACACTTCACGCCATCGATGAAAACTGAGGACGCTCTCACGGTTCGCACAGCTGATATGTCCACAGGCAGCCCATATCGTGTGTCGCTGTCTGCGCGCGTGCACAGGTGGCCTTCCAAGGCGCACTCGAGTTCCGCAGCACACTGAGCGACGCACACCCGGCACCCAACGCCCTCATCGCCGCAGAAAGGTCTGCACCCACTCATCCGCCACCTCTGTGTCTCACCGTGTCTGATCTCCTCCTCAGTCCTCTCCCCGTGCACCCAGCTGTGGGCAGCCACCTGGACGGCATCGCCGAGGCGCTCATCGAAGAACTGGGTATGGGTACCTGCAGCTACATCGAGCACATCCATGTGTGTGTCATGTTCGCGAACATCAGAGCCATGCCCTCTGGTCTCCGTCGAGTGGAAGCGCGGCGGCCAGTGCTTCTGGGTCGCCAGGGCCGGCAAGAAGAGGTCAGCGGCCACCGCGTACCACACGGGCAATAGGAATCGAATCATCCACAGCTGCTTTGTGTGTTGTCAGGGGCGGCCGTCGGACTTCGTCCAAGAACGATTCCCAGCGTGTGCCAGTGCTGACTCGGACGGAGGAGGGCGTCAGGCAGGCCTTCGCGGCCGCCCTGCAGGCCAGGGACAGCATGAAGCGTACGCACACACAAATGATGAGCACACACCACGTGGTGACACACATGATGTGTTTTGTCAGTGTGCATGGCTTACGAGGAGTATAGCGGCGAGATGGACCTGGACTTCACACCCAAATCGAGGACCAAACCCAAACACAAGAAACGTACACGCAACACACAACACACACAAACCAATCCATTACAACCATGTGTTGTCTTCCCCTACTCCCTCCCTCCCTGTCTCAGGCCATCGTCACAAGTCGTCATCGCCCGATGTCCAGCGCGCCTCACCGTCGGCGTCGCTCACATCTGACGCACTCGGCGCGTTCATGGGAGACGACGGCAGCAGCGGTCAGTCACCACACAATGGAAACATAAGCACTGGACCACCCATGGCCATTGATTGATGATGCTCTGTGTCTGATGTGTGTGTGTGCAGACGGCCGTCCCTCATCGCAGCTGCTGAGCATAGAGGAGATCGACAGACTGGCCGACAAATGGGTCGGTAGACATCTAGCTAGAGACACACACATTGGTGGATGCACCCGTGTGTGTGTGTGTGTGTGTGTAGGTGTCCGCCAAGGGCGGCGGCTGGATAAAGTGGGTCAAGAATGCGTTTGTCGTGGCCGGCGGGGTGGGCACGCGCAGGGGCACGGGCAGCGGAAGACGATTCCCCATCGCCGACTTCACATACAACGGGCTTAAGGCGGGTAAGCAGTCAACGGGCTCATTCGAAAGGACACACCAATGCGCACACGCTGTCCCTGTGCAGCCTTCAACGAGGCTGTCGCCTACTTTAACAAACACTTTGGTGAGTAGAAATCCACACAGCCGACGATCACGCATTAGGCAGCGAGCTGTGCCTCTTTCTTTGTGTTGTGTGTGTGTCAAGGTTCTCGCATTCCTTTGTCCCCGTCGCCGATCCCGAAGCGCATGAAGTTCACCTCGGGGGCCGCCGTCGAGGACGACGACATCACGGCCGAGCCATACATGGACGGATGTACGCTTGACACACACACACACACACATGCACAACGCACCATACCAATCCACCAATCCATGTCTGTTTTGTCCGTGTGCTACCCATAAAACGATCCAACAGATGGCTGTTGGTTGCTGTCGTTGTCGTCATCGCCCCACCCGATAGCAGGGGAGCTCAGGGAGGAGGGCGGAGAGCACCTTCTCCAGTTCAAGGCGGGCGGCAAGAAAATGTGTGTGAGCTACGGAGGCATACACACAGGCCTGCACACATTACAACGCACATTCGCTGTGGTATTATTGTGTGGCGCGCACATACAGCATCCGCTTCTACCCGTGCAGCCATTGCCAGGCCCAAGGTAGCTTCTCCCGTCTCTCTCTCTCTCTCTCTGTGTGTGTCTGCCTGTCCGTCTGTCTGTCTGTTTGTTGCACACCTGACCCACCCACCCATATTGTATGTGTGGTTGTGGTGTCTGTCAGGTTCTTTGTCGTGGATCTCTGCCAGCACGTACACGTCCAAGCATTTGCCTGAGTACCACCCGGAGATCCTGCAGCAGCAGCAGCAGCAGGAGCCAATGCATGCAGAGTCATACGACGTCCAGGTAGGTATGAACACAGGCATCACACGCCTCCATCCCACCCACCCCAACCGCCTTCCCCTCCAACACCCTCATCCTTCCGTGTGTAGCCGGCTGATGATTACGATGCCGGTGGGTCCAAGTATTTGGACGAGCAGGAGGCCAGCGGCGGCAATGAGGGAGGCGGCAGCGACGAGGGCATGGAGGAACAGGAGCAAGAGCAGGAGCAAGAGCAAGAGCAGGAGCAGGACCAGGAGCAAGAGGGGCTGCCCGAGAACGAAGACCACGTGATGCAGGAGATGCAGGAAGGTAAGGACATGTGTGTGATGAGACAGGATAAGATGGACTGCGGCCAGGCCGATGAGGTGTCAACTGTGTTGTGTTGTGTTGTGTTTGTGTTGTGTTGTGTTTTGTGCAGTGCAACACCCCGAGCCGGTCCCACTGCCGTCCAACGACCTCGCCCGCCTGGCCAACTTCGCCCTGCCCACCCACGATGGTAACACCAAGAAAGACACCAACACTCACGCCAGCAGCAGCAACAAGGACAAGAAACAAGACGACGAGAAAAACAAAGAGGTGAAGCTGACACAGGCCTTGGTGCGCAAAGGCATGGATTTTTGTGTGTTTCCCTCCCTCCCTCCCTCCCTCCCTCGCTCCCTCGGGCTCTCTTGGCAGGGCGCATCTGCTGAGATCACGGAGCACCCGACGACCGACTCGCCCGTGCCGCAGGACGCTGTCAAGATGGAGGTCGATGATAGAGGTACATATCTAGTCACACACGATGCTTCACACATCTCGATGCGGACACGTCTCCTTTGTGTTGGTTGCGTGTCTGTTGGGGGGGGTGCAGGTGAGAGCTCCCCCTCGGACAAGGCCGCCGCATCAGCAGCTGCTGCCGCTGCCGCTGCTGCTGCCGTGCAGTGTCTCGGAGAGCTGTGAAATGGGGCGGATGTGGGTGGTTGAAGGGGTCGGTGTGCAGAGTTCCTTTGTCTGTGTGACGTGGCTGCCTTGATGTACAGATGAGAAAGAGAGGTTCCTTCCATAATGCGTGCGCGTAGCGACTAGCTAGAGACGGACACAATCATTCAAGTGAAGTGAATGAAGACAGAACGCCGCTGTGTGTCCAGCCATTCATCTCACGTATTCCCCTCTCTGTTCGCACAACCAGTTCGGGACTCGCGAGCTTTGAGCGAGCGAGGCACGCTCTTACCCGAAGTTCGTGTTTGTAATTGGGGCCAAATTGGGGCCTCGAGACATTCGGTACCGTCTTTTTTGTGGAGGCCTACTGCGAGCTTGGGGGCTTTGCACGCATTTTCCCTGACGAACGCGGAGTAACGCGGAGCGAGTCCCGACCCCCCGACGGAGGAGGGCAACTCATCTGCTCACATACTAATACACACCCACACGAGTGGATGCAAATCTGCCGTTGGGGCCGTTGGTCTGCGTATGTGGCGATTTTGCCTGCTTGCGCTGGTGGTGGTTTTTCGACAGACGGAGAGGGGAAGGCGCGGAGGTAGGGTGGTGGCTCAGCTCACGGCACCCTGTCTGACGGGCAACAGGGCCCTCTTTCCCGACGGGACGGAAGCAAACGCAGACTGCCGACCGGGGGATCCTTGGGAAGGAGTATTTGACAGGGCCATTACAACGGAGCAAGATGAGGCACTTTCCCACCGGCAAGATGATGACGTCTTTGCGCGATGCGAGGGCAATGCCTTTCTACCGATTCTCGACCACCCCGATTTGGGCAACTTCGGCCAATGCGTCTACGAGGATAACGTCAGGGAACGGCTCAAGAGGCAGCAGACAGATGCCCTGACCACCGACGAGGAGACCGCCGGCAACGTGACCGCATCGGCAGAGAACCAGAGCCAGTTATGCGGGGCGCCTAGCGGCGTCAACCGAACGGACATCACTGACTTGGGGACGGCAGCTCTCGGCAGGTACGCGCTGCAGCCAATGTGAGAGGACCACTAGCATTTGCGCGATGTTTGCTTTGTCCTTGTCTGTCAGCTGCCCATCAGAGAAGCCCCTCTGTGCTCGGACGAGTGACTCCCGCTTCTGCTACTGCATCAATCTAGAAGATGGCCTTTTTACGGGCCTGATTGTCGCGGATTTTCTCACGGGCGTCACAGGCGGCCAGTCATCGTCCCTCTGCTTCCCGCCCGCATTGGATCCGTGCTTCAATTCCGTCAACCGCTTCGCCGTGCCCCTCGACTGCGCGGCCAGCCTGCCCGTCGTCGAGAGAATGGAAGACATTGGGCCCGACCCAAGAGAGCAGAGCGTCAAGCCGAATGGCCCGCCCCCAGTTCCACAACAGTCAACCTTCGCCCAGCTAGTGCCCGGCACTTATCTGTTCCAAGACGTGCACTCTGACGCCTACCTCGACACCATCAGCAACACGGGCACCAATGTGTCGAGTTGCATGAGGATCCAGGGCAAGCCTGACGATGATAGTGGACTTGACGGCTTCTTCCTCGACCTCTCGTGCAATACGGCAGAGGGCGTGAGTGTGACCCTCCAGTTCGACTGCCCCGACACCGGCCTTTGCTCCCAACGCGAGGGCAACCCCGCAGTTGCAACCATACAAGGCGTCCTGCGCGTGGAGAATGCCAGCAACTTGGCATGCAGGGGCGTCGACGCGCAGATCGAGATGACATTGACGGGGTTCGTCGACGAGGCAGAATCTCTCATTGCTCAGCAATTCGAGTATGACCAGCTACAACGGATTCTGATCATCGGCAATGAGACACAGGATGACCTTGTCACTGCAAGAGCGCTAGGGCTCATCAGCCAAGCACGTGACTTCAGTCTCGGTCTGTTGACCTTTCCTGATGATGTGCCAGAGAGCTGTGATATTCTGCTCAACCAGCGGGTGTTCACGGTCACGTCGTCACAGGAGGCAGGATCTATCCTTGCACTGGCTACCTCAGGATATGGAAGGAACACGACGTCTGGCGACATTATCCGAAAGGTACATGCACCGGTGGACAAAGCACATATACATGTGTATATATTTCGTTTTCCTCAGAACCCGTTGGAGGTCAGTCAGTTCGCTTTTGACAATCGAGAGGCATTCCAGAAGTGCAGTGAAGTATGTGGGGACGCGGCTCCATCGTCTGGCATCCTCGGCATCGATTTCAGTCTTGCGCTGCTCGGAGAAGTCTTACCGACGATCTTCTTTCCCATCTACCAGCCGGAGCAGTCGCCCGACCTGTCGTTCAGCAGCTTCTTCATTGGGGACTCTTTCTTTACGAACACGACCCTCGATACCACAGAGTGCTCCGGCGACGATCGATTCAATAGGAGTGGCAGAGAAGTATCTGCTTTGTGCACTGAGGCCCTAGACCTTGAGAGGCCTCGATCCTTTGAGCTGTTCAGCGCGGAGACAGGCGTGTCACTTGACCTGATTCTGAAGGTGCTTCGTTCATTCTCAAGGAAGCCATACATGTGTCTGTCTGTGTGCTGCCGTTGTGTGAAGGGCCAGCTGGGAAATCTGATCGATGGAAGAGAAGGTACATGGCAATGACACCAGTCAGGCGCGTGACAAGCATGTTTCTTTCTTCTGGTCTCTTGGCTGAGACGCAAAGATGATTGACTGTCTTGCCGTTGATGCGTGTGTATGCAGTCTTGGCCAATTGCCGAGGACTGAGGCTCCAAAACCTTCCCGTCGACTTTGACCCTGGCGATGACGCCTTATATGCTCAGCCCCTCGTTGAACCCAGCTCATTTGGCGAGGTTGTGAGTGTTGCTCTTGCGCTCAACGAAGGAGTCCTTGGAGCTGACACGTGTGTTTTCATTTCTACCGATGGGACTCATACTTGCAAGGGGATAACGAGAGGCTCTGAGCACAGGATCAACGCTTCTGTCGAGATCTTCTCGACTGTTGATGATCCAACGATCAAGAGCTGCACCGAGAGGTTCAGCGATTTCGCCACGGGGGACGGGGATGTCCTGCCTAATCGCTGTGTGATTGCGTTTGAACGCTGTAAGCAATTGAAATGAATCACAGCAGACTTGCTGTCGCTTCCTGTTGCTTCGTCGTATCTCTTGCTTGTGTCAGTCGAGGCGTGTCCTGAGATTGTCCTGAATGCCTCCAGTACCGCCCAGCCATCAAGCTACCGCATGACCGACCTTGACACAGGCTGGTGCATCCGGATTCGGCCTGAAGATTCCACTGAGGAAGTCTTCCTATTCAGCTGCGAGGGAGAGGACGCGGATTTGCAAGTGCGGATCAACTATGATGTCGAGGCTCTGGACGGACGGATCGCACTAAGATCCCTTGGCCAGCCACAGGTTGGCTTCGCCAATGTGGGCTTCAAGGGCACAGTGCGGCAGGTGTGGCCCCCAGAGTGCGAAGGTATTCTCATGTTCGTCGAAGGTACGCTGTGTTTGACACACTCGCAAAGCCTTCGAGTGTGTCTTTTGTCTATTCAGCTTGTGTCTCTTCATTACACAGGCACTCAAGCGGGCGGCTTGAGTTTTGAGCCTCAGGGAGAAGAGCTCACTTATCCGGGTGAAACGTCGTATCTCCCCACCATCAGAGAGTTTGCTAAGTCAATCGCACCCGAATTGGTAGCACTGCCAGACACTGACCATCAAGAAGCCTGTGTCTGCTAACTGCTTTGTGCAGATCTTCACGTCGAGCGCCTCTTTTGCGAACATGGATTATACCATTTTATCGGCTCCTGACAATATTTCTGCCGAGCGCTGCTTGCTGCCTACAGTGAAACTCACCTACAGGAAGTTTGGGACGGGAGTCATAGAATTTGATAATGGAACCATCGCAGAAGTGCCTATATTCAGCTTTCCCAGTTTGTCAGTTGACAATTCGGGACCCGAGGACAACCCCACATTCGTCGACAGTTATATTCAAATGTATGGATATGGACCTGGGAGGCAAGGCCGCGGCATAGATTTCTTGTCGAGAGTAAGCGGTCACTTGAGAGAAGTCTGCGACATTCCGAAAGAAGGTACGACAAATTGTATTGCATCAAGTACTCACAGGCAAGGGTCCCTGTTTGTTGTCAGGCGTGCAGATTCAATGCCTCGCGAGAAGGCCATTTGTCTTGTTGGCCGACGAAGATTTCCTCAAGCCGGACGACGATTTCAATCTCACGTAAGATGGGCTCAAATGACGAGACAGCCATCAGGCCGTTATGGCTGAATCCATTTTCTCTATGTGTCTCCTTCCTTCAAGTTCTGTTGCTCGAGTGCAGACACAATACGGCATCGATCCCGACGATTTGCCGCTCCAATCGCCAGATGGCTTCACACTCAGCTGCTCGCGTGATGATGTCGAGCGTGTTCAGCCTGCTGGCTTCATTGTGCGGACGATCCCCTTTTTCGTCGAGGCCCCAAGCGGCTATGGCAAGACCCTCGCCGTTCAGCAGCTGTGTCCTGTTCTGACATTTTGTACCACCAAGGCCGAGAAGACAAGCCCGGCCTCTAATGGACAGACGCAAGATGGGAAGAGACCATTGTGAGGCTGACGAAAGGGCAGGCGGCCAGCTTCTGGAATTGATTTGATATGAGGGTGGATTTGCTGTGCGGACCATCGCCTTGCTCGCCGTCGTTCGTGAGTGCCAGTGCGGGGTGTGACGGCATTTTGTATCGCAACCGGTGTCAGAGGATTTTTCTGTGATCGCTTTTTCTACGACGCGTATACATCCATCAGCCATACACGCCTGTGTGGCCTATGGCAAGGTGCACAAAGTGAGACACAATCACTTCGGGCTCACAGCTTGGTATGCATCGGCGCCTTCGGTGTCTGTGTATGTCACTTATGGCAGCTGGCGTATTTGTCGTCGTTTCTCAAATGACGCGCAGCCGTCAATTGTTTGTCGGAAAAAACAATAATCATTTTCGTCTTTGGGAGACGGCAGTCTGCTGTAGTGCATTTCGTCTCGTGTGTGTGTGCCTGTGTACTGGCGGACGCATTGCATTGTGGTGATTTATATTTCAGCCATGCACCAATGTATCCGAGCCGGCAGCAATCTCGATCGTTTCTTACAAAAGAAAGAATCGTGCACACGTGCAAAGGCAGGAATACGTCAGTCAGTCACACTAGCAGGAGCGAGTCGACCACAGCGAAGCCGGCGGCCACCCCGCCCTCGTTGCTGCCCTCATCCTGACAAACACGAGCCACACACACACACACACACACTTTAATGAACGATGCAGACACGTAGTCTCATGTGTAGATACCTTGCTGCGCAGCAGGTGGCCGAGCGTCTCATTGTACACCTCCTCACTCCCATCCCTTCACACAAACACACACACACAGAGGAACACACCATGCGGAAAGTCGCCACTCCATTATCACATGGCACTTACATGACTTTGGCCGAGTAGATGCCCAGCTCGGCGAGGGATGGCCGCACGAACGCCTTGAGCTCGGCCGTGTCAGTGCGGTCAAAGACGAGCGATGGCAGCACTGGCGGGCGGATCTTCTTCATCAGGATGTACTCAGACAGACCCTCACCCTTGGTCAGGGTCCTCACGATGTCTGCACTCCACTCACAGAGACGCACGTGCGTCGAGAGCGATAGCAGCATCCTCGCCCTTCCACCTTGTCCGTGCAGGTTGTTGCCGCCGCCCTCTCTCTGAGGCTTCAGCACCCACTCCTCAGGATGCTGCACCGCACACACGAACACACACAGCAATGCACAGAGTGTATCAGCCACGGCCCTTCTTGTCAGATTCTCCTCACTTACCTGGATGGCGTCCTTGACCTCCTCGCCCTTTGGCGCCATTGAGGGGTCCACTTGAGGGGCGAACACCTCACGCAGCGGCTGGCGACTGCACACCGGCACGAACCGATCCATCGTCGAGGGGTCGCACCAAAGTGCTTGCACCTGTGTGTGCAGCACACCCCACATAGCAAAGGACAAACAAGCGCGGTGCGTGTGTCTGCTTGCGTGTGTGCACTCCCCCTGCCCACCTTTTTGCATCCGGCCAGGTGTGCTGGGCCACTCGGGCACTTGACGGCATGCGACCATTCCAGCACCTCACGGGCAGCCCAGCAGCGGTCGTCAGGCAGGTGCGGCGGCGCGTAACCCGACCGAAAGTACACCACAGTGAGCTCAAGGACCTCGTCGAGTCCTCTCTGCCACACGAGGCGGCCTGGAGTGGCCAAGGGGGTGCTTGCGGAAGGATTGTCGGGTAGGATGCGCAGAGCGCCGCTCTCTATTGCGTCAGCCAGGTCCTGGAAAGTGCTGAAACAATGAAAGCCGGATACATACACACACACGGGGACATCAGCTGATGCGCTCTGTGTGTGTTTGACCTTCTCCTGCACGTGACGCCGTGGGTGTCGTAGAGTGCGAACTCGAGATGCCTCTGGTCGATTTCGTTGCGCTCGTTGTCAGGCACCATGTAGAGTACCGCTGGCCGGCGACCGGAGCCTCCTGCACACACAGCCAGTGGACACACACACATTTGATGGTGTGTGCATCTTGCCGTGCACATCTGCGCTCACTCACTTTCGATAGGTCGTCTCCTCAGATACGCCGTGTGTGCAGCGGCGATGGCCTGAACACACACACGCACACAAGCGCATGAGTGGGCACATGCCTGTTTTATCCACACACACACACGTACCGTGGCCATGTTGTCTGCCGGTGCATTTGGTGGCGAGATGTCGTCCACGACGCTCTGCACCACATTAGCAGCCGAGGCACTCTCTGATGCCTGATCCGTCTTGGCGTAAAGCTCCTCCGCCAGCCGACGAATGGCAAACCTGATCCACAACGATTGCAAAGCAGCTTGGTAGAACGACCATTCATCTGATCAGTGACCGTGCGTACCTTTGGAGTGCGGAGACTCTCTGCCCGAGTCCGGCGAATGATGCGGCGATGGTGTTGAGCTCGACCTGCATGAGCCTCTGCGGCTGGTCCGGCCTGCTGTCAATCATGTAGTCAGACCGCAGCACATACAGACGCACGTCGGTCGATACAGCCTGCAGAAACGACGGCAAGGGACACATGTACACGAGCTGCGCAGAACAAATATTGCTTATATAGGGCGTGTGGATCACCTTGGTTGGGTCCGCATAGACCCTCTCGCACATGGCCATGATCTTGGCAGTGAAATCATCCACCTCACACACACTCTTCAGTGACGCCTGGAGCCATGGAAAGTCGCAAGCAATCCTGTCAGCCAGGTCACCGAACGGCGTGCTCAGACTCAGCGCCTGAGCATACAGCCTCTTGGGGATCTGCACACACAAACACCAATGCAAACCAAACCGCTGACAGGCAGCAGCCAGGGACTGCAATGTGAGCGTGGCCATCGTCGCACCGGCGAAGGCAGCGCAGCAATGGGCGCCAGCTGCATGTTGATTCGGTCCGATGCGTCCCGATACATGCCGATGCCGTGACAGATGCCCCACGTGGCGATGTCGCGCATTGCGTAGGCGTTGAGAGCGTACTCGGACAGCCAACTCTTCTCTGTCAGACATCGCAGCAGTGAATCTTTGAGTGATGAACTCATTCTTTGAACAGATCCGCCGAAAACACACAATCAGAAAGCCTGCTGCACTCGTGCCATTCAAGATCTGCGCAAGTCTTGTTGGGAAAGGAGAGGAGCTCTGATCGCCTCTGAGCTCGCGCATTGCCAGGCGGTTTTGTGTGCTGGGAGCTATAGGGGCATGGAGGAGCTGCCGGAATTGACCATCGTCGTAAGGAACAGCTGCATCCATCCACGGGCAGGCGCCACCATGATGTGGAAGCTGCCCGTGTGGTGCGTTTCGCTTGTTTTCTGCATGCAGGTCCGACAGGAAGGCCACGAGGATGCACACTTCAGCCTCAAGTGAGCCCGCACACGCGAACGCATCGCCGCCAAAGTGCATTCATGTTTTCTTTTTCGCAGGCCCACTGATAGCATGGAGAAGCTGATGCAGGGGTACCGTGCGCACTGTGCACTCCCTGACCATGACGAGGATGAGCCCATCTTGTTCGTGTGAGCAAGCACTTGGGGCTGAAATCATGTGCATCCCTCTGACGCACTATGCCCGTGTGTGTGGGTGCGTGTCAGGTTTCGGGTGAACGGCATGCTCGTGTGTGGCTCGGACACACCTGCTTTGCTCAAGCTGCGGGACGGCGATGTCATCGTTGCTACCCTAGGTACACACGCGTCATGGCTGACTGCACGTGGTGGTTGGATGGGCCCTGTTCTGGTGTGTGTGTGTGTGCAGAGGGGCGTCGTAGGATGCTTCTTAGGTCGCGTGCTAGGGAGCACAGAGCAGACAGGATTATCAGAGGGCGCATCCTGGTAAGGAGGCGACACACAGGCCAGTGCAATGAACGTCGGACAATGGAACACATCTTTCGTGCCCCCTTTTTCTCCCACGTCAGCGTGCTGCCCCTCCCCCCTCTCTGCCAGCGTTGCCTCCCGAGGTCCTCGGCGAGCTGTCTGAGACCCTTCTCACTAATGAGGCCCTCCACCTCTCGACCCTCTCATTCGGCATGCGAGCCGCCCTGTCCGAGCCATCCATCTATCGCCATCTCACCGTCACCCCCGACACTCATTCGACATGGCGCAAGGCCGGCAAGGAGACCATGGACGCACTGAAGCGTGACAAGCTGTGTCGGCTTCGGACGGCGAACATCATGACCGGTCACGACGTGTACGAGTCTCGGCTGCGTCGTCGTGAGAAGGCTGCCGGGAGCACTCATGACGAGCGGCCGTGTGAGATCGACTACGAGGAGATGGGTATCGATCCCGATAGCGACGACGACGCCAGCGACTATCCCTTCGCGCAGTACAACCGGGCCCTCCGTCGCCGGGCCAAGTACGCGAGCATCCTCGAGGCTTCGCGGGCGTCTCTAAGGGAGATCAGCCTGCAAGACGAGGTGTACTTCCCCATCAAAGACCGCCCGGCAGATGTCGCAGTGGCCGATGACGACCAATTCTGCTCATTCGACAAGACGGAGCGGGTGGTCATCGCGGGGGTTCTGTGGGATGGCTGCGCGTACGCCCGTAGATGGCGTTTCCCCGCCCTCAAGTCCTTCAGCGTCTGCGACGACGAGTCAAGGATCACCTCGCTGGCCATTTCAGACCTGGACCACCGATATATTGAGTCGTGGGTGTCCGGCTGCAGTCTAGCCTATCTCGATGTGCCCAACCTGGAAGCCCCGTCCATGCTGCGTGTCCTCCGCTCACTGAGCAGCGTTCGGCAGTTGACCGCCTTCGGGGTGCTCGAGATGGGTGATCCGGTGGAGGTGACGGAGGTGGGGGAGTGGCTAGAGGAACAGGGCGTGGGAGGGGGCAAGGGCCGGGTCGAAGCCGTCTTGTGTCGCTTCAACATCGAGCCTAGCCTCTACTTGGCCAACGCAAGCGCCCTGTCGGGTCTAATCGGCCGTGTGGCCGGCGAAGGCATCTCTCCCGACCCAGCCGATGCCATCGTGGCCATTCTTCCCCCCAACCCGTCTCACGGTGACCCCAATGACCCCCCTCCATCACAACCCCGCAATCGCTACCCCATCGCCCAGCACCTCTTTGAGGTCCCCGCCGGTGACCCCATTGCCCACGACACACCGCATCTCTTCGACCGGTCGCACAGCCGAGGGGTCAAGAAGCGACCCTTCACCGTGGCTCTCGATCGGCCCGAGTTCGTCGACGACATGCTTCGGGTCGACTGGAGGCGGTCCGATGCTCTCGGGCTGCGGATCGCGCAGGAGCTGGCGAGGCATTCGCGTCGCTTGGACATTACTCCAGTAGGAGAGGGCGACGTGGCGAGGGATGTGATGCAGAAGGGCACATTTGGCGGCTTTGTGTTTGAGAGCGTCACAAGCCTGACGATCACGGGACAACACGAGGGCGGCACGGAGTACATCTTGCCTGCGATGCCTCCCCTGCCATCTTCCCCCGCCCCCAGCTGTCCGTCCCCATCCCCTTCGGCCCGCTTCCCGCGCATCCACGAGCTGCACCTTTTTTGCCCGGTGGAGCACATGCTTTCTGACCAGGGCGGCCTGCAGCCGATTCTGCATGAGGTGCGAGGGCGGATCCGGTCTCTGCACGTGACGCAGCGTGACGTGCTCGCCCATGCAGCCGATGCGAACTGGCACGGGCTGCCCGTGGCGCTCGCGTCGGTGATGCTGCGGTGCCTGAAGGCCGTCCATTCGCCGGCGCTGGAGTCCTTGGAGCACAGTTTTGAGGCCATGGATGCCTTGGAGCACAGTCCTTTCTACCTTCCCTTCTATCGCCGGTCGCCCATCTACCAGCTGTATATGACCCCATCGCTCGTCGCGGAGCTGCCCCCCATCCCCTCCCTCAAGCTAGAGATGCCATACTCCGTCTTCGACAGCTCCGGGAAGATCCAGCTCGATCTCATCCTGGCTGTCGTCAGCAAGACCCCCGGCCTCAGACGCGTCGAGTTCATTGAAAAGCGTCTAGTGACATGGACATCGCCGGAGGGCTACTTGGCCATTGGGCCGAGCAAGGACAGGTACCCGAGCTACCTGGCCACCACGGCGGTGGATGAGGCACTGGCTGCTGCCGGATCCCCCTTTGTGGTCTCACCAGGCGTGCAGCCGGAATGGAGCCTGGTGTTGGAGAGATGATGTCAGGACGAATAGACGGGGCTGTGCGCATAGACAGGGTGTGGTTGGCTGGGGTCGTATGTGGGTGTGGGTGTGGGTGCGATGGCAGTGTGAGAGTGGCTCAGCCTGCTTGTTTGTTCACCTGTGATATGTATAGAGGTTGCTTGTAGATATCTGCCGACAACGAGATGAGAAAGAGTGAAGCATTGCTGCTATCAAGCGGCCAATTCGATGAGTTCTGATCATCACCAAGCCACGATCGCTAGCTAAGCTTGCGCGGAGGAATCCTCAGGCTGTTCCTCCTTTTCATCCTTTTTGCTGGAGGTGAACAAGGACGAGCCGCGATGAGTGTTCGTGGCTCCACCACAGCGACGACGGCATACCATGCCTTTGCAAATAGGCCCCAGGTGGTTGGGCCGCGGAGAAAATACCGATGGGAAGACTCTACACAAGAAGTGCTGGGGTAAGAGGACACGAGGCTCAGCACACAAAGGGGCAGCGTCTGGAGCAGTACCTGATTCATGTCTGCTTCAGCACCAGGGGCACGATCCCTTCTGGAATGGCAGCCCCGACGAAGGCTGCCTCAGGGTCAGGAGCGAGGGCGATGAAAGGCGTCGCAATGATGTGGAGCCAACGCGTTCACCGTGGTCCGCCTGCAAGTGTGCTCTCTTACTCGAAGGATCCCTCTCGGGTGGACCCCGCCACCATTGCAAGAGAGGCCGAGAAGAGGCGGGAGGAGGCGAGACAGGCAAAGAAGAGATTGGCGGCGAGGAGCAAGAAGGCAGAGAAGTCGCCCTTTGCCACGCCCATGCCCGACCCTCCCCGATTCCCAGTTGACCTTATGCCTCACCTGGTCAACAGACAGATCAGTCGAAACAGATGAGGCACTCGGACATCTTCATGGGATGGATGACTGTTTGATGTCTTGTGCAGGTTGAGCAGACGCCTCGTGCCGTTCACAGGGACAATGTCACGCAGATTGATGAGTTTCTGCCTCAGCCTCCAGCGCAGCCATACCGGCCAGCCAAGACGGGCATCGACAACTCGACACAAAGTGAGCTCAAGACGATTCAATTTCTGTGGGGATCGACTTGTCCATGTCTCGGTTGTCTGGCTTCGTCTGTGGTGTGCAGTAAAGCCGACTGACCTGTTTCATTTTGACCGTGAGGTTGAGCCAATTCTGGACGTGATCATCAACAAGACACTCGAGCAGGCCCAGACAGAGGTGAGCAAAGGAGACAGAGAGACACCGCGTGGCAATGCATTTGTATCATTTTTTACCCACATTCAGGTGGAGGAAGAGGAGGAGATGAAATCGCTGCTCATCTACAAGGAGGAGTGGCGGGAGCGCAAGGTCGCTGTGCTCAAGGAGCAGCAGAAAGAGGTCGAAAGGGAGAGAAAACGGATGGAGGAAAAGAACAAACTCATGGACGCAAACCGAAAGAGGTAATTCTACCTTCCCAATCATACGTCACGTTTGATGGGGCGTGTCTTTGTCTCCAGGGTGGCGCGGGAGAAGGAGGCGATGCGCAAGGTCGAGGCCCTGGAGATCAGCAACCGCTACCTCCGTGACCTGGCGGACACCGCCCTCACCTCGCTGGCAAAGGTACGAGGCCCCACCATGGAGCCAGTTCATGTCTGTGTGTGTGTGTGGTGATCGCAGAGTGGTGCCTTCCCTGACCCAGTGGAGATTGTCATTGAGCAGACATTCCTCCCGTGGGTCGTTGAGGAATGCGAAAGGCATTATGAAACCCTCCGGGCAAGCCACACACTCATGCAGAGACGTGGCCATTCGTGCGGCAAACCTTTTGCTGTCGCTCTTGTTCAGGTGGCTGACACATGTGTGGCCAACGCCATTGAGTCGGCCATGGAAGAGTCCCTGAGAAGGACAGAAGCGTCCCGGCAGGAGCAGGTCAAGATCTTCGAGGACTTCTGCACACACGAGAGAGACAGGAGGGACATTCCAAGGGGCAACATGCGAATCAAGGTCAAGACGGAGTCTGGCGAGACAGTTGTTATCGGCCCGGTGAAGGTGCACGCCGATGAGCCCATGAGCGACGTGAACCTTCGCGTGATGGACTGGATCAATACCAACCAACCAGAACTCGCCGAGGCCTTCCCTCATGGCGTCATTCTCAATATCGACGACAAGCCTGCTGAGGTAAGCAACGCAGCGCCCCTCCGTGCACATGCCCTTTCATTTGCCCATCAACTCAGGAAACGAACGCTCTGTTCGCGACTGAGCCAGGTCAGCTGTGGCTGTCGGCGGCGCCCGAGCCTCCGCCACCACCCATCCAAGAGGAAGAAGCTGAGCCCGTGGAGGGCAAGGGCGAGGGCGAGAGGGAGGGGGAGGGTGAGGGTGTAGAGGGGCGGGACAAGCAAGGGGAGGAAGAAGACAAAGGCGACGAGGAACAGTAGATCGTGCACTCGTATATGTACATGTATTGTGTGCGTGTGTACAACTCTCACGGATTGCCAAACAGTCACAGCTCTCTGCAGTCTTGTTGTCTCCCGCTTCTGATTGATTGATTGATTCACACACACTGCATATTGTGAATCAACGATGATGAGTGACACTGGTGGCGTCGCTGCCGACCAGCAGCAACAGCAGCAGCAGCAGGGTCGTGTGGCGCTGGTGTCGCCACGCCGACAGCACGGCAAGATCAAGACCAACCTGCTCAATCTCAACTACACCTTCAAAGGTAACCACACACGTGCACGGCAGAGACACACTACTGACAAGCAACGTGTCCATGTCTGTTATGTGATTTGTGTGTTGGATGCAGTGTTGGGTGCTGGCAACGCGTGTGACTTTGTGCTGCTCAAGAACGACGGCCATCCGTACGACATCCGATTCGCCATCGTCGCGTCACACGACATCAAGTAAAGAAGTGAACTGACACAGAGAGACACACACACAGCGTGGATGCCTGTCTCGCTTTCTCACTGTGTGTGTGTCAGTGTTGGCAACGTCGAGAAGAACATCGCCCGCATCACGTCTCCCGAGATGTGCAGAGGAACCAATGCGTCAGTGACACACACACAGAGAGAGATACACAGAATCCGCGCATCTGTCTGTCGATTGTGTGTGTCTTTGTCAGTTCGTATGTGCTGTGTCTGTTGAGTGCGTCTGAGTTTCACACATTCCAGACGGCACTCGCCGAGACGCCACTCGCCAAGCTGCCCAACCCCATCCCAGTCAAAAATGAGCACGACGCCACACAGAGGATGCTCTCACTCGCCAGTCCCGCTGTTAGACGGCACCACACACTGACATCCACCATCCACTGATGTGTGTGTGTGTGTGTGTGTGTCAGCCGTTGCTGCCCTCTGTGATTCGCGACATTTCGCCGTCTCAGTCCGTGCTGCAGCATCTGTTGGATGGCCATCTGTCGAGCGGTGCGCTCGTGTGTCGGTTCCTCTCTCACATTGGCGGGCTGCGTGCCATCGACATCGACAGCCTGCTGCACGTTGGCAGCCTCCAGACCATCGCGCAGTCGAGTGCGAGGGAGACACTCATAAACAAGACGGCACTCGACAGTGACAAAGCCAAGAAGGCGAGAGCAGGACGATGGACACTAATGGGGTCAGGGAGATGCACCTCTGTGTGTGTGTTGTGTGTATGTGTATACCAAGCAGGTCGAGACATTCATGGGCAGCATACCGTTCATCGACGACACGGAGGACAGCCAAGAGCAGCAGCAGCAGCCACACGACGGCATGAACACTTGTACATAAATGCGGGGATGCAAAAGACAGAGAGACCGACTGTGATGGATGATGCGGATTGAATCGCATGATTATTCATGACTATGTCCGACAAGTGACACATGTCTGTCATACACCCATTCACCCCACCCAACATCCATCCATATGACTGTACACAAAGTGCCTTGACATGCATCCAGCCGTCATTCATTCAATAAGTTCATTTCTTCTCTCGTATGAGGTTCTTCTGCGTGTCGATGTCCAGGATGCGCTGCATCAGCTGGTGCCCGTACCCATACAGCGACAGATTCACATCGTGCTCACCGCCACCCGACGCTTCACCTGATCACACCACACCACACACACACACTCAGGCACAGCCAACCGAACTGATGTCTGCCCATCTCTCTCTCTCTCTCGCTTACTGTGGACGATTCGCAGCCGCTCTTTCTGTTGGTCCTTGGGCGGCGGCTGCGTCATGAACTCCAGCTTGGGGTTCCAGTAGCGCAGCGTAGGCAAGAAATACGTTGTGAAGTCACTGCAAACACACACACGCAACACCAGAAGGATCATCTCCATGAATTCTCGATACGATGCACTCACTTTGCCACTTTGTTTGAGTCTTTGGCGAAGATCTGCAGCTTCTCGATGGTCAGCAGGGGGGTCGGCGTCCCAAGCACGACGCGCTCAAGCCGCCGAGTGGACATCAGCCTGGACAGTCAGATCTGGACTCGGCTCGGGCAAAAAGGTGCTGCATTCATCGAGACGTCATGCACAGGCAGCCTTGCTTGGACCTTCTTTGCCCCTTCTTGGAGCACATCATCGTGGATCGCCAATTAGCTCGCAGAAGCGCGAGGAGGGAAAAAGGCGCAGAAGGTAAGGAAGCGCCAGGGGATGACAGATGGACGACAATCTGTCTGTTGTTCGTCAATATGTGTTGGTTTCGTGTTGCAGTTGGCATTGTTATGTTGACGCTGGCCCAGTGCATGAGCCTGTCGCTTCTGTACGTAGCCAGCCAGTCGGTGCACGTTCCCAAGATTGGCGTCGCCAGCGCACGAGGAGCCGCCGCATCGTCCCGACGACCCGCGAGTTTCGTCCCCTGGAGGAGTCTGCCGACGTCGCTGGATCACTCCTCTGCAAGGGTGGGTGGTCACGATTAACGCGGACCCATCAGTGCAGGCTGCCGAGGCCTCCGGGCTTCTGGCAGGGTCTGAGCGAGCCGGGGTCGCTCGTCGAGGGGGAGGGGGTGGTCAGGCAGCCTGCTTGAAGGGGTGGATAGCTTGGTGGATGACTGTCATTGGCTGCACCGCACTTCTGACGGTCGCCCTCTTCTTTCTGTTTTTCAACCAGCAACTGGCGTCGAGGCAGCAGCAGGCCACCATGCACCAACGCGCCACGGAGCCCCAGAGTGACACCAATGTCGTGGTGGCGTATGTCACAAGTGAGTGGGCACGCCACACAGAGAGGCGGGAATCGTGGCTGTATTATGATGGTTGTGTGTGAAAATGTGTGTGTGATGTAGCGCCCAACTCGGATGTGGCCAAGGGGATAGCGTCCAACCTGCTCAAGCACAAGCTGGTGGCGTGCTGCAACATACTACCCGCCGTCAGATCCATGTACGCATCGCATTCCATGTTCGCATCTTGGCCAACACTGCTGTTGGTTGGTGCTGGTTCATTCAGGTACTTCTGGGACGGCGAAGTCAAGGACGACCCGGAGGAGCTCATGCTCATCAAGACACACAAGTCCCTAGCCAAGAAGGTACCCCAACCATACATGGCACCCGCACACCATGTTGTCTCTCATCGTTGGTGTATTGCGTTGCGTGTGCAGGTGTCCGATGCAATTGTTCGGCTGCACCCGTATGAGGTGCCGGAGGTCATATTCGCGCCCATCGTGGAGGGCCACCCGGCCTATCTGTCGTGGGTCGCCGACGAAACACACGACAAAGTCAGCACGCAGACAACAACAGCACACATGGAAGTCATTGCATGTTTTTCGTGTGTGCAGACTGCTCATATGGATCAAGTAGACGAGGCGATCAGAACTATGCCGCATCTGGGGGTGAGCGATCAGCCAGCACACGGAGAATGCCGCGGGCTGGATGTATTGCGTCCACATCCGTGTGCAGGAGGATGGCAAGGAACTGCCGGAGGTGGACGCACTGTCGACCGAGAAGCCCCACGTAGACCTCAAATCGAGTAACCTGCGCGCACGTGCGACCGACGCTCGTACGACTGTTCTCTCCCTGCCTGTCTGCCTTTGCTGTGTGTTGGCGTCCATAGATGGGATGGTGGTGGTCAAGATGAAATCCAACCCCACCACCGGATATACGTGGGAGGTGAGAACCGATAGACAGACAGGCAGACAGACTACTGGCAGAGGGTGCATGGATGGCCGGCCGATACTGTTTGTCCATTCAGGTGTCTGAGTCGGCGGATTGCGTGTCGGTAGTCAAGCAGGGCTTCATGCGGCCGTCGAGCAAGCTCATGGGCGCGTCGGGCGTGCAGGAGTACGTCATCAAGGCGGCCAAACCGGGGGACTGCGCATACACATTCAGGTCGGTCTGCTAAGCGACACGTGCTGCCGATGTTCACACAGCCGATGTGATGCTGGCTGTGGTGTGTGTGTGTGTATGTATCAGTGACGTCAAGCACCTGGGGAACGGGCAGAAGGAGGTTGGCAAGACGGCCCGTGTGACATTCACCGTCGAAGGGTAGTCAGTCAGTGAGTGAGTGAGTCGCGACGGCCGGCCGTGTAGCTGCCAGGGGGAGACTCACTCGGCCCTCGGGTGTGTATGATAGCTATACATATTGGTACGGATGGATTGGCCTGTCGGTCGGTCTGCATCGACGGCTGCCACTGCAGCGGTTGATTGGGGGTCTTACTCTGAGTGTGAGAGTGACACTCAGTGAACACGCAAACTTTCCTGCAGACTGGTGGACGTGTGTCTGTGGGTCTGTGTCTGTGTCTGAATGTGCCTGAGGCTCAGGACATATCCGCGCCATGTAAAGTCCATCAGAGTTCATTGCAGCTTAGCTCGACGTGTTGACAATTGATCAAAGCCGGCAATGGTTGCCATGGTCGGTGAGGGGATGGTGCATGGACGGTGGGTATGTCTGTCTGTCGTGTGACTGCTCGGCATGTGAGGCCCTGGGTGTGGACGCCCGATGCATGGGTGAGCGGACGCTGGGAAAAACACGTAGATATTCCTCAACAAATCACCACTCATACTCAACTTGTCGACGCCAGAATGCACCGTGCAAGCCACCGTGCAAGCAGACATTCGGTCTGTCCGCCACCCAGCCATCCATCCATCCATCTATGCCTCCTCCTCAACGTGGGGGCTTATCAGCTCGGACACCGCATGTGCAGTGGCCGTGATGAGCGACGTGCGGGGCTGCGATGAGATGTCCTCCACCATCTCTGTGTACGCCACACCCCACACACTCGGACACCTCACTACCTGATTAACGAATTGGCGAGACACATACACACAGAGGTGAAAGCGCAACACACGGAGACTGACCAGCGGCAATTCGCCCTTGACAGGTGCGGCCACAGCGCCAGAAAACGACACAACACGGCCCCTTTCCTCATCTGATCACACACACACACACACAGGCAGGCAGGCAGGCAGGCAGAGACAGTCATTGCAAAGGCGCCCATGTGATGCCAACACAGCTAGCCGGCGTCACCTGCCACAAATACATTCCCCTGGCTGTCTGTCGCGATGTCTGTCGGCTTCCTGACGGCGGTCGATATCCTTATCGGGTTCCCTGGCCACATTCAACCACCCCACAAATGCAATGGAACGGCGTCTCGTGTGCTGGTTTGGTTACCGCCGTCTTTCTTCATGGCATAGATGGCCCCACCGAAGCCTGGACGAGCAGCGGGACTCCGCTGCAATCAGCACAAGGAGGAACAATCAAACGGGCGAAGGAAGCAGCCCCGTTTGATGTGTGGCACTGACTGCAGTCGTGTAGTAGACGTGTGCGCCGTCCGCAGCGACACCCAATACAGGCTCCTTCGTTCGAGCCAATACCTGCCAGATGAGTGCATTTCCAGGCGGAAGACACACACACACGAGAAACCTGATACCTTAACTTGCCCAGAGTTCTCAGGCTTCTCAGGCGCCTTGACGACGGAGAAGTCCTGTTGGTCGTTGCCCCACACTAGTGAGATGCTGTCATGGGCCAACCCACGAGGCGCCATCACCTTGGCGCCAGCACCCGCATACAAACTTGCCGGCGGCTCGCCCGCAGACATCATCTCCACCGTCATATACTGACCACACACATACACACAGACGCCCATCCCATTCCATACAATTCTGAGTCCATTCATGGAAGGGATCCCACGCTCGCCTGCAGTGCGTTTTTTCCCTCTGCGTTGAAGTAGAGAGAGCCCTGGTGGTCGACGGCAATGTAGCGGACGGACACTCCAGATGCAACGGTGGTTGGGATGCGGTCACATAAGAGATCTGATCCGTGGACGAACGCCTTGTACTGAAGGATCTTGGACAGGCCGCTGTCCGCCACATAGAGCCGGCCCCTCTCTGCGTCTACAGCAACTCCCCGAGGGCTCACGAGGCCGTCCTCTGATCTCAGCAGATTGAAAGTGGACAAACCCTGACGCACACCCACCAAAGCTCACGCTTTTGATTGTGGTGCCTTTGTGTGTACAGTACATGTTCATCGCCGAATGAATCGAGTTTGACGAACGAAACGGTCCCTTCGGATGCCGATGAGAGGACGAGAAAGCGGTGGATGGGAGGGCTGGAGCGTTTGGCAAAGGCACTCCATGGCAGAAGGATGCCAAGGCACAGCAGCAAGAAGCCTTTCATACCCTCAAATGAAGGGTTTACACGCGAATGTAAACAGAGTTTCCCCGCCTGCCGGTCTGTCACCATAAAATGGGCTCACCGACCAGAACAACTGGAACAGAAGCGAGGGTGCCCTCAGGGCGTCACACACACAGAACGCAGCAAAGACCACTTCATCGTCACGACCAACTAAGAGACAGTTGTTTTGGGAGCAGACAGACTAGCAGATAAGCAACCAGCTCAGAGGTCTTCCCTCCACCCTTCTATGATGCGTATGGCACTTTGCGTCAGCACAACCGCGAAGTTAAGACGCTTGTCGTCGGTAACATCAGGATCGCCTGAAATGCTCTCGCCGCAAGCATTGTCCATCGGCTCGATCCACATGCCACTGCACACACACACACACACACACACACACAGAGGGCAAAATAGAGAGAGGGCCACACTACGCATCGATGAATGCGGCGAACGGATGAATACCTGCCGGAATTGCCCTTGTCTGCAACCAACAAGCAGTGGCACAGACACAGATGCCTCTCTGTTCATGGTATCACTCACCGATGTCTGCCCGGTGTTCGAGGACAGAGAACCCTTTTTCCAGGCCACGACGATCGGGCAGTTGACCGTTCTCGTCGCACTCAGGGAAGACTATGTTCTCTGTGGACCCGCCAGGGCGGCCCTGATTCTGCGGCGGCATTCTCCACATCCCACGCTCCACCACATCATTCTTATCTTCCGGATAGCTGTGTGCACAAATAGCAAAGAAGAAGCAATCGCACCATAAAACGACGCCATCTGGGTCGGTCGCGTGTTCGGTCACCCGGCGAAGATCAGTCCCGGGGATTCGCCACAAAACGTGCCGATGTCGAATGACAAGCTGTCTTGAGGCGCGTCCACCAGCCTCACCATGGCAAAATCTATTGGGACTTCTTCTTTGTAGCCCGGATCCAACTCAAGCCATGGTCGGTAGATGCGGGCCTCGTCTGCATCAACACATGGCAGCACCTCCTCGCCATTGAAGCCGGGACAGAACCTGCCGCCCACAAATTTCGACTGGGGCTCAGCTAGCAGACACACAGAAAGGAAAACAGAAAGGCAGACGTGAACAACATGGACCGACTGTGTTGTTCGTCTGTGTGTGCTCTGCTCTCTCTTACACTCTCTATTCCACAAGCAGTGTGCATTGGTCAGGACGAATCTGTCGAACACCAGGTTGCCCGTGCAGAAGAAAGGTTGCCCGTCGAGATCCAGCTCCAACAACCCAACGCCCTTCCACGGCTCCTCCCCGGACTCATCGAGTGACACGCGGACACGATCATCGGGATCGAAACAGTGCAGCGGCACTCGCCCACCAACTGCACGCCGTCGACGAGCCGGGCACGTTTGCTCTTGCTCGCTCGTTGCTGCAGTGCTGTTGCCCGACACCCTGAAGCGCCTGTCGACACGATTTGGGTCACTGCTCTTGACACACACACCAGCAGTAGACGTCCCGTTGTGAGGCTCCTCCTCCACTCTGCAGGCCAGAATGTCTTTCTGAGCTTCACCCGTGCCGTCCATCAGATAGACGTCGCCGGTCTTCCCTGAGAACGGCAGACTGCTTAGCAGCGAACCGGGCCATTCGCCTTCTCCCACCCTCCTGCCGCATTCCCACACTCCTGGCGATCTGGTTCATCCGGCCCAGGTACACAATTCTGCTTGGCCGCGTGCGGCTGAGGATCGTAGGCAGCTCGCTCTCGGGCGGTAGAATCAACTGCCTACACGAGCAAAACGAGAAGCTGTCAGTCGCTACCTTCTCAGTGCGCATATGCTCACCTGTTAAGGGCATCACCAATGCAGCCTCGTCCGATGTCGTCCTCAAGCACGTCAGCGTCCTGGCATAAGGCCAGACAGAGGCTGGCAAAGGACGTGCCGTCCTCGGAACACACAGGGCCGGACAGCAGGTCACGAAGAGCAGCTGACGAGTGCAGAAAAGGTTCCGACTGCCGCAGGCTGAGCTTCGTTCCACATTCACACAGCCCCTCACGGAAACGCAAGACACCTGCAAGGCAGCCGAATGCAAGATCCCCCTCCCTCTGTGTTCTCACCTGTGCTGAAACGAGGACGAGCTTGGGCTGAGGAGAGGCGAGTGAGCACCCATGCCATCAACAATACAGGGAGATCCATCAACATCGCTGAGCTTCGTGGCATGCATGTGCCGTTGGGTGGCCATGTATCGTTGTCTGGCCGCGTGGGGGCGAAGTCTCAGACTCGAAGGTTCGGGGGGGTTTGTATATGCAAGCACCACTGTGCCAGACGCCTGACGAGGGTGAGCGAGAGGAAGAGAGGGACAAAGACAACACCGGCCTGGGGGATAACGAGGAGGCCCCGTGCACCACTCGACTCGCAACGAGCGAGGAGGAGGCTGTGGCGCCAACAGCGAGGGAGGAGCCAGTGCAACGACTCACTTCCCTGCCATTCCCTGACCCTGCATTCGCCGCCCAAGTCGAGCCGATTCTTAGCAGGTGAGGAGAGAACGCTCCAGGGAGGGCACATCAGCGTCTCACTCTTGTCGTCCCTTTTCTGTTCGTAAAGCCTCAAGGCCATTCGCGAGAACATCGGAAGTTGGCGTCGCACATCCCTGCCAATGACCTCCCCATCATCTCCGGTGTATCCGAAGCTCAACGAGGAGACACCGCAGCACATGATGTTGACGGAGCGAACCTATCGCAGCAACCTCCCTCGCTCACCGCTGGCACGCTCGCCAAACCGCGGAGGCCCCGTGCAGCAGAGCATAGCCGGCACGGAGACGGGCGACGCAAAAGAAGGAGGCGGAGCAGTGCTCAAGTTCCGCCTGCCAGAGCATTCAGACTGTGAGCTGCATATGATGGGGACGGAAGACAATGCCAAGCAGCAAGAGGAGAGCAATGACGACGAGCAGGAGGAGCAAGCTGACGGCGAGAAGGCCAAGAAGGGAAGCAGTGGCAAGAAGCTGGCTGTGAAGGTGCCTGCGCTGTCCCTCGGTGAGTCGGCTGGCAAATGCCTCCCAGTGCGCCTCACGGCCCCCACCAAGTTCTACATCGGCACGCCAGAGGTCAATTCTCCTGATGGACTGCTAGTGAGCCCCAGCAACGAGGTTGAAGCCCCTGAGGAGATGCCTAACATGAAGAAGAAGCAGCGCAAGCACAACAAGATGCCACTGTTGATGTTCCTGGTAAGTGAGAGGGTGGTCTTGTGTGGGTCCCATACCTGTTGCCTTCGATGCGTGTGTGCAGCTTCAGCCGCTGGTGACTCTGTATCGCTGGCTGAATGCGCTGCCCCTAATCACACAGCTGCTCATCGCGGCCGTCGCCCTCCCGCTGCTGCCCGCCGCACTCATCTCGTTCATCCCTCTGCTGGTCAGCGATGGCTGCCAATGTGTCTGAATGGTCGGTCCATCTGATGTGCTGTGCATGGCGTGTGTCGCTCAGGTCGTTCTGCTGACGTGCGCTACGGGCGCCATGTGGGCTTTGGTTGGCGTGTGGGTGGCCCTCGCCATCATCACGATGGCAGTGAGGCCCGCTGAGGTGACATGGGAGGTTCTGCCGCACATAATGGCATGGCTGAACGAGCAGGGCCTCAAAAGCAAGAGGGGCAGAGGGTGGAGTGGCGCCTTCTCCTCCGGCCAGGAGGAGGGAGCCGATGACTGAGTGGTTGAGAGAAGTAAAGGATAGCATGTTGGACGTTCACATTCGCTGTGTGCCTGAATGAGCATCAATGACGACAGCTCGTCAATGTCCGTCATGTGCTTGGTCACGTGTGCCTGAGACCGATTGTACGTCAAACAATCGCCGGCAAAGCAGCGGGCAGACCAGCTGCAGCGCAGTCTGCGCCTCCTCTCAGCCTCATAGTGCGTGTACTGCTGGGTGTGTACATGGACATAAAGAGTGCATGGGCCGTCCCCTCCAACGACTCTCATGGAAGAGTTTACAGCGTCCAGCTCGCATATCGCGAGAGAGAGGATCAAAAGGACTGGGGAGAGCGGCAACGCCTTCTTATGACACTCACGGTGCCACGAAGGTGTTGATCTTTGAGTGTTGAGGAGTGAGGATTTGCTTCCGAGAGGCCTCAAGACATCGGGTTCGTCGAGCAGGAGAAGTACCAGCAACCATTCCTGACTGATCAGTCGCAGCCACTTATCCCACCGCCTTTGTTCGCATCTTATCGTCTCCACCTCAGAAGCGGCAGCAGCTCTATCGCCTGTGGCTGACACGATGGCTCACAGAAAAGACCCTATCAAACAGATGCCATCTGACAGCTCGACGCTGCCCTCGACGCTGCCCTCGACGCTGCCCTCGACGCTGCCCTCGACGCTGCCCTCGCCACTCGACGACACTCAAGAAGGCAAGAATCAGGTCGGTGGCTGTCGCGCCGGGCTGATTGGCATGGTGAAGGGCATGGATCCGCGGAGTTTGATGGGCTATCTGAGGCGCGTGGTGGACAGCTTCGGTCTCCACTTCACCCTGTATATGGTGTCCACGTACTTCTTCGTCAAGGGTAAGAAACACAAGAGGCGGAGAGAGATATGCGTATGCATGTGCCTGTCGGCTGGTGGTGTTTCGCTGCGCTGTGTTGCAGGCGCGATGTATCAGTATTTCTACGTGGTACAGTTGCCTTACTTTAAGCAGCTGGGGCTGGACGCGCTTGCTTATCAGGCCAACTATACAGTGTCGTTCGCTCCCTGGGCGATGAAGGGTACGCAAACACCACACGCACACGACCTCCATGAAGGGGAGGCTTTCATCAGTGTGCTGTGCTGTGCTGGGCATCCATCGTTTGTGCAGGGCTGATCGGAGGTGAGAGGGTTAGGTAACTGAGGCAGTGATGGTACACTCATTCTGATGCCTGTATTGCAGCGTTGAGTGACTCCTTTCCACTGTTCGGATATCACAAGAGGTAAAAGCTGAGGAACAACGCAACACACGCCTGCCATTGAGCATTGAGCATTTTTCGTTCGTCATTTCTGTGCATCAGGCACTACATCACCATCACGACGCTCTTCGGAACAGCCGCATGCGTCGCGCTGGCCCTGCTGCCTCTAGAAAGTAGGCCTGTGTGTGTGTGTGCGTGTTTGTCTACTCTACTGGCATCAGCGAATACCGCTGTGTTTCCTTTCAGCTGCTCGCCTCATGCCGCCCGTCATCGCCTTGTTGTTCTTCTTCGCGCACCTGCAAATGTCATCGACAGACCTGCTGGTCGAAGGTGAGCCCCCCTCGTTGCCTCCCATGCATTTGTCTGCACCTATGTGCGCTGTGTGTCACCATAGGCAAGTATGCAGAGCTTATGGTTAAAAAGCCCGAGACCAAGGGCGATGCGGTAACGTTCGTGTGGTCGGTGATCACGCTCGGGATGCTCGTGGCGTCAGCGACCGTGGGCATCGTGTCTGAGCGCCTGTCGGCTCGCTTCGTCTTTTGGATTTGCGCCCCAATGGCCTTCCAGCTCATCGTTCCGACTCTCATGGGCTACCTGCCAGAAGAGCGGGTTCCCAAGGAGGACAACAATCGCTTCAAATGTGAAAAGATCAGGTTTGTGCACCACCGCACTGGCTGACTGACGCCTGACTGTACATATGACATGAATGTGCATGTGGGTGTCCACAGGCATCAGTGGAAGTTCTTCTCGCTGGCGTGCGTCATGGCTGCGTGCGCCCTGGGGGTGGCCTTTGTGTCGGTGTTCACCTCGCCGACGGTGCAGCTGGTGTATGCCCTCGGCATCTCGACCGTGCTGGTGTCTGCGTCCTTCTACCTGCTGCCCAGGGTGCTGGCGTCGTGCAATGTGTATATGTTCCTCTCCACCGCTCTCTATATTCAAGTCACTGGGGCCGTTGACTACTTCTACACCGCCGAAGCCGACTGCCTGCCTGGTGGACCCGGCTTTGACATGGTCTTCTACACCACCTGGTCCAATGTCGGTAGGTCAACGCACCATCACACCGGTAGATGGCATCGACAGAGAACACTCCGTGCGTTGTGTTGTCTTTTGTGTGACGTGCAGCTGGTGTTGTGTGCCAGGGGATCGGTGTGTGGTTCTTCCAGGTGGTCATGATCAACTGGACGTTCAGACAGATGTTCTGGTAAGCAATGCAAAAAACACACGAAGCTGGCCTGACTGCAAGACACGTGTGCATGTCCGGATGCAGGATCACCACGGCCATCAAGTGCGTGGCGGCCTTAGTGGACATCGTGATAGCCGAGCGGTGGAACATCATGATCGGCTTGCCTGACATGGCGACATACCTCATCGGATCCGCCATCATATTTAGGATTACAGAGATGATGGACTTTAGTACGCCAACACAACAAGGGGGAGGGATGGGAACACTCAGCACCAATCATGGTTCTGTCTGTGTGTCTGACCGATAGTGCCGTCTGTGATTCTCATCTCCAAGCTGTGCCCGCCACGCATGTACGCCACAGACAGCATCACGTCGATGATACGCACGCACACAGACAGACAGACAGACAGTGTCTGGACTCTCTCTGCTTTGTGTGTCCTTCGTGAAGGGAGGCAACGGCCTATGCGATTCTTGCGGGCTTCGCCAACATGGGTCAGGCCGTGAGTCGTGGCGTGGGCGCCTTCATGATCAAGGGATTCGGCGTCCAGACGGAGGGCGAGTGCAACTTCGAGGGCTACTCGATGATGCTGCTGGTGTGCCAGTTCCTCCTCCCTCTGCTCTCAATTCCCTTCACTTGGCTTCTCCTCCCCAATGCCAAGGCAGATCAGAGCCTGCTGAACGGTACGCTCGTTCCTGCCTGCTTGATCCGTGCGATAATACTCTCTCTCTCTATGTGTGTGTGTGTGTGTGTGTGTTGTGCAGCCGATCAGCTGAGGGAGACTGAGGCTGCAATGGGCATCGCCGATTCGGAGGACTCCACTGGCACCGGCTCACCAGACATTGAGAAGCGGCAGACCCAGCCAGCTGCCGACGATGACAGCAGTGCGGCGCCGCCCTATCTCTGATCGATCGACTGACTGCTCTGCCGCAGCCGTCCAATCGAACCAGGTGGCCGCAGGGCAACTTGTTGTGTATAGGATGCGGAGGAAGAGGGCCTTTTGTGGTCGATTCAGTTAATTGTGACACTGATTCGTGTCTGTTATGTGATCGGTGGTGTTTCTCTCTCTGCTTCGATGACTGTTAAGACGAAAGTGATGGCCGGTGCTTCTCTGCCCCCAATGATGTGCATGAATGCACCGGCCATCAATGCAGTATGAACTGCCATCCACGGTAGAGAGAGGTGCCTGTCGGTGGTCTTTCTGCGGACATGTGCATCCTTTTTTCGTCACGCATAGATTGTGCGTGGTGCATGTCTGTCTCCATCGAGTCAATATATTATGTGTCCTTGTCAGAATGGAGCGTTTTTGTGTGTGTGATCCAAGGGAGGCCTCTGCTGTGCGGCCGATCTGGCTCTGTGCCTGCCTCCCTGTCGGTCTGTTGCACACCCTTGCGGCTTTTGAGGGGGGCGGACGCTGTCGATTGCGACCGTGTAGATGAGTCTTGTGCATCCGGATAGAGAGCGGTTGAGGGTGGGATGTGAATTTACGTTGGACAGGCCGTGGTTTGCGATGGTCATCACACAATGGACGCCGGAGGGGTGAGTTCCTCATTTATACATAGCTCTGTGAGTCAGTCTAGAGACACAAATGCGATGCACATGAGGTTCACAGAGCTCACGACCACGACAGCCAAGTACACACAGAGACAGAGCACAGAGAGACATCACACAAATACCATTAGTCCCGCCACCTCATCACACGCCGGTTGCTCTCACACCAGCCTGACATGGGGATCTCACAGACAGTATCTGGCAGTCAATTGATGTCCTCACTCACCTGAATGGATGCCCTCTTCCTCTGCCCAGCGAGAGAAGCCAGCATCCGCAAACATGCACTCAGCCAGCCGCCTACACAAAGAAAGACACAAATATGTCCACTCCTCACGACACTCATCAAGAGCATACTTGGATCGGTTCCGTTCGCTTTCGAGGTCGTTCTCATCCATGATTCCTCGTGTGTCCCTCGCGGCCACTGCGTGCACATGTGTGGCTCTCATGGCCGCCTGGGGCAGGGCAAACTCAGACAGAGAGGGGGAGACGGGGCAGAGGGATGCGCCCCAAAGAGGAGAGGACTCTGTCGTGACGATGGGGCTCAAGCGGGAGACAAAGATATCAGGGGACCTGCAAGATGTACACCTCAGCGTCGTGTGACATCTCGTCACGCTTCTTACGTTTGTGAGGTTGTGCACGGTGCGTTCTCGCCATTTGCGGCATGTTCCCGCCAGCCGCAGTGTTGGCCGTCCCCGTCATTGGAAAAATCGAGACGTGAAGTCTCGAGAGCAGGCTGCAGCTCCGAAGGAAGGGGCGAGGACGGCGGGCATCGATCCAGTCGGCCTTGGAAGGAACTCACAAGCTCCTTGAGCCTCGCCAAGTCCGACATCGGTGGCCGTACACACGAATAAGAAGTGTCTCCGTGCCCTGCTTCAAGGAGAGAGACATACAAGCAGTTGCCACGGCCTGGTGCTGCGCAATCACCTGTACTCACCGAATTGGCAGAGGCGCGATACTGTGGCTGGACTTACGTCCCTGGGCCCTTCTCTTGCCTCTGTCAGCTCCCTCTTGATATTTTCAGCCCTAGTCAAAGCATCCACTTTATGTCTCACATGTACCGCTCCACCTCGGCAGCTTCGGCGCCTCAGCGTCTTGGTCTTGGTCGTGGGCAAAGGCGACAGCCTCAACCTAGTCGAAGGCGACCTGCTTAGAGACGTGAGCGGCTGCAGCGTGGCCTCCGTCCCGCGCCGATCAGATTCCCAGCAGACTCCTCCTTCTTTCCTTGCTGCCCTCCTCAGGGTGTTCTGCGGCGGCCCTGTGGCTACCGGCGGCCGAGTGAGTGAGAACTTCTGGCTGCTGATACATGGCGTCTCTTTCTCGTCCTGGCTTTCGCTCGTCATCTCGGATCTCATGGGAGAAACCAGCATGGAGTCGTCCGATGGGCCTTGCGTCACGTCTTTGGGTGGTCCCGGCAGCTGAGGGGGTGAAGGGGCGCTGTCCGGGGTGAGCGAGAAGGACAGAGATGAAGAGCACGACGGCTGGTCATCCACTGGCTTGTTCATTCGGGCCGACGTTAGGCTGTCACAGTCGATCGGTACTGACGTCCTGTGTCCGACCAGCAGTGGTGCAAATGTGGTTGTCTCGTCCACCGGTTGTGTCTCACTGCAGCTTGTTTCGAGCCGCTCCAATGACGGCAGCAGCGGGACAACAGGGGGCGAGAAGGATAGTCCATTCGGAGGCGGCACCATCACACTCGTCGACGGCAGCTCTTCACTCACATCAGACCTCGGTGTCATATCTATCTTGTCCCCAGTGTCTCCAGCCGCTTTGCGGAGATTGGAAGGTGGGCTGCTTGGCGGCGCCGGTAGCTTCAGTCTGGGGATCTGAGTCCGTTTGGGAGATGGGGGTACGACATTTGGGCGAGCGGGGGACGGCGGACGGGCTTTTGCACGAGGGATGCGAGAAGGGGGGCGGGATGTCCTTGCTTCTCTTGGGAGAGGCGTCTTCCGGGGACCTTTGACGCCGGCCTTGCGACCGCCTCTAGCCTCGGATGGGTTAGAAGGCCCGCCGCAGCCGTCGTCGCTCGTCGGCCCTCCCTTGAGTGGTGCCTCGAGGAAGCCAGTGCCATCGCCGAAAGGTACAGCCGACACCACTTCAGCAGGATGAGTCGCCAACGGAGCAGCAACGGCCTTCTCGGCTCCGTCCTTCGTTGAAATATTCTGCTGTTGGCATACGCCCTCCGTCTCTGTGCCTTTCTCATGCTTTTCCTGCGTCTCCGTCTCGTCTCCTGGGGCAGCATCCCTCAGCGTCGCCAGAATCAGATATCGATAAAGCCACACAATCAGCAGAAAGTTGAGCAGGGCCCGCACCCAATAGGGGGTCGTAAGCACAAGACCCAGGAGGAACACAGAGCTGGGCTGAGGCAGGAAGGGGCCCATACACCCCCACAAGTCCGTAAAGAAGCACCGCCGAGCCATCAAGTCGGTGTCTCTGCCCGGTTTGCCTGTTCCCTGCCGGCAGACCCTCCGAATGGATGTTGCCGGCGAGACTTTGCGTGGCAGACATGGCTGCCTTGCAGGCGACATCCGGGCTGAGCATGTCTGACGTCTGTGATTCCCTAGTGGCGATGCTGACTTCCTCGCCTTAGGGAGCGTTTCTGTGTGCTCGATTGACGAGTTCATGGGTGGCGAAGGGGGAGGGAGGGAGGGGGAGCGGAGGGAAGAGGATGCTTTCCTGGGCACCGAGCTGGCACTTCCTGGTGGAGGAGGAGCTGAGTGGCGGGCCCTGCCTTCGCTCGCTGAAAACAAGACGAGACACAGACTGGTTTGTTCACTCGCTGAAAACAACCGGTTGTTACCTCTCACATTCGCCGCCCCGTTGTTTTCGAAGTAGTCTAATGCTTCCATCCAGTCAGCCCGCCTCTTCACCTCCTGGCTGGCACGCTGTGGTGGGGAGGACGGGACGGAGCGAGGTGGCGATGCGCCGACATAATCAGGCCAGCAGATTCTGAAGACTTCAGTGCAGGGAGGCCTGTGGGAAGTGGAGGCCTCTCCCTTCATTGATGTCCGCCCCCAGGATTTGGCCGGAATCGGATTTCGTTCCCTGCGAGCTAAGATCGCAGGGAACTGCTGAGTGAGTTGCCCTCCTCCGTCGGGGGTCGGGACTCGCTCCGCGTTCCGGCGGCCGCGTCGCGAAATGCATGCAAAGCCCCCAAGCTCGCATGCAAGCCCCCATCGAAGACGGTACCGAATGAAAAAGTCTCGATGGCCCCAATTACAAACAAACGAGCGACACGAACTTCGGGTAAGAGCGTGCCTCGCTCGCTAAAAGCTCGCGAGTCCCGAATCGGACGTTGGGTGTGGCCGCTCCGCACCACCAGGGCGCTCGCGAGCATGAGTGTCGTGAATCGATGTAAGCGAATACATACATTCATCAGGAATACTTAAGATAGCAAACATAGATGGCGTTTGTATACGTGCAAAGTCACCCAACAAGCACACGGAGGGCGTCGCTCACTCACTCACTCTATCACCATCAGTAGCCCTCTTCCATGCGATAATATCCTCCTGCCTTCATCCGGCGTCGATAGGGCTCTGCAGCGCCCAGTGGACGGCCCGACGGCTGAGCACTCGAGTGCTCCTGGAACCCAGTCACCGACTCAGCTGCATATGATGCGCATGCCCACCAGGCAAGAGAGCAGATTATGCAGGTATGTATCAAGTAGGCGTACACACACGTATGCAGTGGATCCACTTGCCTGTCGGTTGCTCCTCGGTCTTGTGAAGGAGCTCGTTTGGGGGGGCAATGCCGCCATCTCTGCAGACACGGACGGACACACCCAATCAATCAATCAATCAATGCGACGGACAGATATACTGTAGAGGACTTCCAGGTCAGTCATGTGATTGACACAAGCACGTACGAGTCCTTCTTGTGCTCTGCAGCCACATCCATACGAACACCAGACACACCCGTGCGCAGCGCAAGTGACCTTTGAGCCTTCTCCCTGCCTGCAGGTCAGGTACGTGCGGTGCCTACCTCGCTGCTGAGCGCGCGTCGCCAATACAGCAGCCCGCGCATCTGCCCACTCAGTCCACACTGAACCCGACACGTTAATTACATAATAGATAGCCATGCAGACACAAATTACATTCCTGCCCACCCACCATACACAGCCGTATGTACCTGCATACCTTCGTCAGATGGGCGCACGTGGGTCCGCAGGTATTCAAGAAAGGCAGCGTCATCACCAAGATGCTTAAGAAGACCAAGGAAGTGATCCTGGCGACACACACACACACAGACAGACAGACAGAACAACGCGTCATCAATCACTGTGTGTGTGTCTGTGTATTCTCTGTGTGTGTCTTCTTTCTCCTTACTCTGTGCCTCAACAGCCATTTGATGTGAATGTATACCTCCATCCTGGTGAGACCCAGAGTTTCGATCTTCCGCAAGACGGCGTTTTCCTCCTGCGGAGTGTATCGGTTGTCGCGCAGCAAAGGTTTCTGTGCGTTGCCCATCATGTGAGCGCGAGGGGCAGCGCAGGTCAATCTCGATGCCAGCGAGTTGCTCGGCGCCTGGAGAACCAATCAAACAACACACTCTGAGCCACACACAAAAGAGAGAAGAGAGAAGAGAGCATGGGCACGCTTGTTTGACAATACGTCTGTGTGTGCTCACACTGGATGCAAAGACCGATGGACGGCACAGAGGGCGAAAGCACCAGCTGAATCGCGTTCGCGAAAGATCCGTTCGCGCACCTCCATGAATCAGTCAATTTTGCGCACGCGCACACCCTAGGGCGCAGACCTGCCCCAAGTGTTGATCGCCTTTTCATGCCAGTGCCTCGTCGCGTTTTGAAGATCTTCGCTTATCTCGGCTGCTTATCCATCTGCTACCCATTTGCCCTTCATCCATCTCGACAGCCGACCCCGCAGCCGCTGGTTGCATCTGCGCTCTCATCCGCCACGGGTGGGCCGCACCGGTGGATGGGACAGGGCGGAGGGGCTAAGCAAACCAAGACAGTCCAAGCAAACGCCGTAGACAGCGAGGTGAAGCACTCGACAGTCCCTGACAGGGAAATGTTGACGGCAGAGGTCATCAACAGGGCCAAAGGATCATTGTTCGGGTGAGAAAAGTCACTCAGAAAGCACCAGACTGCACGCTGATCGTCCTCTCTGTGTGTCATGTGGTTGGTCCGCTTCAGACTGTTCATTGCTGATGCGTTGGGGATGCCTGCACACTGGTACTATAGCGTTGGGGATCTGCAGCGGCACTACGGCAAGATCACAGACTTTGTCGCACCCAAGGAGCCACATCCAGTGAGCTCAAGTCGCGCAAGACCGAATGAGACCCGTCAGGGCAGGGCACGTGTTTGGTGGGCTGGTTGTTCAGGGCAGCATCATGTCGTTGAGTTCGACGGGAGGCGGTGGGCGAGGAGGGCAGCGGGGATCCATCATCGGCGATGTCATCAATCACGGTAGGTAGGCACACTGGCCAACGAAGCACAAGAACACGAGTTCGCCTATGTCGTGCGTGTGGTTGTGTCTTCAGGCAAGAAGCACCTGTGGGGTCAGAGGGGCATCCACTACCATCACGGAATGGTAACCAATACTGCCAAATGCATCAATGAATGGCTATCCCATAGAATGGATGGTTCATGAGTTTGTGTGGTTCAGCGTGCCGGCGAGAACACTCTCAACGCGTTGTGCGCGCGAGTGGTCATGCGCTCCATCGCAGCGGCGGGCACGTTCGATCCGCAGCACTCGCTCAACGTAAGCAGTGGCCAGCCACCACACAGCAGAGAGGGAGTGAAGCGATCGTCCTGCTGTCCGTCCTGTCCTGTGCGGGCGATCGATCAATGCCATCAGGCGTACGTCAAGTTCATGACGACTCCCGGGTCGCACAACGACACATACGCCGAGACCTACCATCGCATGTTCTTCTCGGTCAGTGCCGATAGCATAGCAGAAACGCGTCAAGAGTGAGTCAACATACCTTCTCGTGCTTGCCTTTGTGGACAGAATTGGCACCGAGGTGTGAAGCCCGAGCAGTGCGCTGACAACGACGGACACAACACGGATTCTGTGGGAGGGATGGTGGCTTTGCCTCCCGTGGCCACGTGGGCCGCTCTGACAGGCCAGAGTGCCGAAGAGGCGGGCAAGGCCGCTGCCGCACAAGTGGCACTCACACGTAAGCTGGCAGATGAGATGACAAACCCATGGCACACGGACACGTTTCGCTATTTGGCTTGCTTCAGACCGGTCCGATACGTTGCAGAAGTACGCCATTCTCTACGGCCGCATGATTGCCAACCTCATTCGTGGCGCGGACCTGCGGCAGGAGGTGCAGGAGGCCGCCCGGGCGGTAGGCTTTGGCAAGATTGCATCTTACATCGGGCTGGAGGACACCCAAGTGGTCGGCGGGATGCTCAGCCCTGCCTGCTACATAGGTAGGTTAGGTGAAAGAAAGGACGTCCCTCACTCGTCTGTCTGTCGGATTGTGTGCATTGCAATGGATTGCACTGCAATGGTGCGGCTGCCTACCTTTCTGCAGACGACTCATTCAAGACGGTGCTCTACTTCGCTTACAAGTATCATGACAGGTACACAGGACGGTATGGTGTGGCCATCTCCATGGCACAGATGGACGTTCGTCTGTGTGGCGTGTGGTCAGGCCGGAAGAGGGCCTCATCGGAAATGTGAATTGTGGTGGGGAGAACGTCCATCGGGGGGCGACACTCGGCGCTCTGCTTGGGGCAGCCAACGGCCTCAACAAATGGCCAGAGAGATGGTGAGCAAAGTGTCGGAAGGCCGCGTAACCCATTCACACCATGTGGCTGTGTGTGAGTGGATCATCAGGGTGAAGGGCTTGGCTGAGAGTGGTGCCATCCAGAGCGAGGTCGACAAGCTGATCGAGACGGCAATGCCTGCAGGGACGCTCAAGTCGGAGCTCTAGCAGAACATGAGCTGTGCGGACCGAGGCAAAGGCGGCGCGAAGCGCTGGCAAAGCTGCTTGTTTGTAGTCTTACGTGGTGCATGGGGTGAGGTGAGTGTGCAGCTGGGTGGGCGGGGGCGGGGGGTGGAGTGAGGGTCGGTGTGTCGATAGACATCTGAGTTCCACTGAATGTCACGTAATTGTTCGTATCTCAGGAAAAAGAGACACGCACTCGCCAAAGCCACAAAGTCAGGGAGACTCAACCAATGGTCCCCCACATAGGCAGGTCTGTCTCACGTCCAGCAATCAAAGCGAATCGACCGCACCGCCACTCCACTTAGCTATACAAGTACATATATATGTAGATCCGCATACACACAGAGATAGAGTGAAACAGAGATAGAGAGAGAAACAGACAGCCTCAACCAATCGATGGATGATCTGGAGGACGCCAGATCCCACCCACGACTCACTCACTCATGGATTCATGAGGAAAAAGTGACCTTGCCGATCTCTGTAGATATGCACACCACACTCACACCAACCAAGTATATATAGCAAAATGCCGCACATACGATGCGATTCAGGAAAAAACCACCGCCTCATCCATCCATCCATCCAGCCAGCCAGCCGCCAGTCAGTTTGGCTCCTCATTGTCACTGTCCTGGTAGATTCCCTGCAGTGCCTTGGGCCGCCAGGAGCCGTCGCCCATGGGGGCGTGGTGCATGAAGAAATGCACCACCTGCCGCGTGGATGGCCGGTCATCTGGCTCGAACGCCCACAGCTGCGAGATGAGGTGCCGGATGGGGAAGGGCGCCCCGGGGGCGATGCGCTGCGGGGGCAGACGCTCGACCAACACGCGACGCCGCATCTCGTCGGGGTCCTGTGTACACACACACACACACACACATACACAATGATGCAGGCCATCGTGGTTGTTGGGACGGGATGTGATTTGATGTGTGTGCCGACCGTTTCGATCTCTTCGCCACCCCAGATGATGTTAAGGATGCAGCCAAGAGACCACAGATCACACGCCAAGCCAACGTCCTGCACACACCACACCACCCACGTGTGTGCAGTGCATTGGTGTGGTTGAATGCCACACATCACATGCATACCTGCACGTTAGAGTCGAGGGACTCAGGCGGCGAGTACTCGACAGTGTAGCGGAAGAAGTCGTCCTTCTGCAGGACACCACCCTCCGGCAACTGCACCATGGCCCCCAGGTCCATCAGCATCAGACGACGGCCGATCTCACGGCACTCGGGCAAATACTAAAGAAGGGCGGACAGCGCCACAGAGAGCAGCAGAGAGCAAAGGATCTTCTGAGTGTGTGCAGTGTTTGTCCGGTCATGTAGCTTACGAGCATATGTTGTGCCTTGAAGTTCATGAGCAGCCTGCCCTGCTCGTGGCATGCGGCCACCATCTCCACCAGGCTGTGGCTCAGCTCCAGCGCCTCAGCACACGTCAACACGCGACCGCTGGTGCGCGGAGACAAATGCTGAACCAACAGGACCGCCCAGCCCATTAATCACACGTACCCTTTCTCTTTTGTGAACACCCCTGCTCTGCCTACCTCGTGGAGTCCGATGGCTGTGTATGCCTCCGAGCCGCTGGCGGGCAGCTCGACAGCGACGGCAGGTCTGGGCATGATGGCCTCCAGTAGCTCCAGGGGCTGCAGGTCACTGGGGGACGAGGGGAGGTCAGACACCGGCGTGAAGGCAAACGACACACCTGACACACAGAGAGACAACAAGACAGGACAAGACAAGACAGATCAGGGGGTTCACGATGGATGGATGCATAGGTTTTTCTGGGTAGGTGACCGACTTACCGCTGAGTCGGCCTATGAATGGCATCTTCCGGGCTATGGTGCACTCGTAGAAGTTGACGCACTCCCGTACAGCCGCATCGAACACAGTCAGACCTGCACACACACAGACGTCGTCATTAGAGCGTGCCAGGATCCCACTCGTGCGCTCAGACATACACACCGAGCTCTGTGTTGTAGACGCGCAAGGCCACAGCCTGCTCTGTGCCGAAGGGCTGGTCATCACCGTGGAACAAGTCAGCACGATATGTCTGCACCCACACCCACACACACACGGCAATATAATGCCCATCACATACGCCACGCCGGCATTGCTGTCATCCTGCTCTCACTCACCACTGCGAAAGTGCCATCCCGCAGCACCACAGGAGACCCGTTCCGCATGTGCACGTCGGTGTTGTCTTTTGTGAACCGCCAGTCCTTCTTCAGGGGCTCGGGAAGCTTCTCGAGTGCCATCTTCTTGGCCAGGGCGAAGTTGCCCAGCATGTCCACCACTATGCGCCACCGATACGAGTCGCCACGCTCGCGAAGGGACGCCTGCAGCACAGACACGCCACCCACGTGTGTAGATGTGAGTGAGGCAGATGGGTGTGGGCCCAGGGCTGGTATGCCGTACCTGTTGATACGTCTCTAGCAGCCTGCCGACGTCGGACTGCATGAAGTCGTTTTCGTTGTCCCACTGCTCCTCCCACAGGGCCTTGGCGCGCCGGAACAGCGACGAGGGGGCGGGCACTCGCTGACACCTCTGGGCCTCCCTCACCAACACATCGTACACCTACACGTGAAAAAACAGGGGTATTCTTAAGGCGTTCGGCCTTGCTCTCACGTGTGTTTGTGCACTTACGTGTCCGATGGAAGGTCTGTCCATCTGGTTTGGTTGCAGCATGGTGCACAGGAGCTCCTGGATGGCTGCAGGGGCGACCTTGGGCAGTCTGAGGTACGGCAAACCGTTCTCAACGATGTACGCCTCGATGTCATGATAGTCCTGATACACCACACAGCCACAGAGGTTACGCTGGCTCCCTCTACGTGTGTATCCGGTGTCCCTTTGTTTCTCACTCACTGCGAATGAAAACTCCTCTCCGCCCCAGATGACGGCGAGAATGCAGCCCAGCAGCCAGATGTCGGTCGCCTTGTCCACACACTGATACATACATCGACACAGGGAGGGAGGGAAGATGAGCACACACCACCCCATGGCTGGAATCCCTTCACTCTCTGACTGACCTGGACGTCAGGATCGAACACCTCCGGCGGGCTGAACGCAGGTGTCGTTCGGTAACCTGCACACACACACATGACACCACAAACATCAATGCATGACAGCGTCTCCCTGTATCAGTCGATTGCCCCTGGCTGCTCACGGTAGTCGTCTTTGGCGAGAGTGGTCTCCCCGTGCTGCAGGCGCACCATGCCGCCCATCCCACACAGCCGCACCGAGAAGCCGTCCCGCAGCACCAGCACGTGCTGCGGCTTCAGGTTGTTGAGCAGCAGGCCCTTCTGGTGGCACCTGCGCACTGTCTGGGCCAGCTCCAGCGATATGCGGGCCTTCTGGTGAGACGTCAAAGGGCGATCTTCGTGCGTCAGGCGCTGCGTGCAGTGTAAGAGAGAGAGAGGGGCGAGGGAGCAGTGTTCGTGAGATGGTGTGCGAGGTGGCCAATGCTGACCTGTGGGAGTGGCTGTGCGGATGAGGGCAGCTCGAGGGACACGGCAGGTCTGGGGAGAATGGCGTCCAGGACGTCATAGACCGACTCGCACTCGGAGTACGCCGGTGCCAGGGAGAGGGGGTCGTCCAGGCAGCTTGTGTACGTCAGACACACACCTGTGGACGGACGGCATGACCCATCCGTCCATGGATGCGATGCACCAGGGAGAAGTGTGTGTTATGCGAGCCCGCCGTGCATGGCACAGGTACCCTGAGTGGTGAGTGTGTTTGGTATGGCCCCCTGCTTGCAGTATCGGAGGTTGAGCACCTCCTGCGTCGCCAACGCATATGCAGTCGACAAACTCTCTGCATACAAGAGGCCGCTCAGCATATCGTGTGTATACGTATGTCGTGTCTCTGTCGAGTCGCTCACTTGAAGCCTTGCATCGTATCTTGTAGACCTTGAGAGCTGACTTGGACTCGCCCGCCGAACTTGCAGACGACACCGAGTACACCTGACCAACACACATCAACACATACGCGCACGTCACTCGCACATTGGTCCAACCATCTCTGCCCACACGCACCTGTGCGTATGCGCCCTCCCCGATGATGTCTCGTGTGCGGCCCGACTGGTCCGCCGCACTGAGCACCAGGTGGGGGTAGTCGGACAGGTCCTCACGGCACTTGCTGATCTGTCTCGCTGTCACCCGCAGCAGACGCACCAACTCGTGCCACAAACTGCCAGAATCAGAGCTCTCCGACGCCTGGCCACCAGAGAGAAAGGCAAAGATGGTGATTAAGTGTGTGTCGTGTCGCCAGCAAATTGCTGAGTGGCTGGGTGACCTCCTTGTAGCCCTGCAGGAGTGAGGCCATGTTTGAGTCGAGGAAGTGCTTGTCGCTGTCAAAGTTGGAGTCGAATATCGTCTCGATGGATTCACGCAGCGACTCCACTGACGCCTCACCGCCACACTCACACTGCACACAACAAAGAGGTAGGGGTACTGTACATGCATCGACGTGTCCGCAACTCTCACATCCCTGCAGACCTCGTCATCATGGCCAACATGTGCAGGAGGGCTCTCGGCGGCCACCGAGCAGGCCATCTCAGAGTCGTCCGAGTCCAAGACGGTCCTCCCTGGCACCTGCGGCCTCCCCTCTTCGCCCCACGACTGCGACGACTCGTCCTCGTAAACCACCGACGGCCAGGGCTCCCACTCGCCCGATGACCCGTCGTGATGGTCCTGGTCGTGCTCATCGTCGCTCTCAGACCTGGCGAAGCTCGTTCGCCAGAACCGCCAGGAGTCTGCAGCTGCTGCAGGTGGTGAGCCGTCCTCCAACGCATCGTCAGACTCACGTCTGCACCAATCAAGGAAAGGAGGACATGTGTGTATGGTCTGAGTAGCCGGATACATCTGGTCTGTTGTGTACCTGGATGATCGCAGTCCGCTCGTGAGGGGCTCGTCGGATGGGGGAGTGCTCCTGTGGGACGGCCGAATGCCGGAAGGGGTGGAGGTAAGGGTGTCGAGCCGCGAGTAGCCATGAGCAGATGACTCCCCGCAATGGGACTGCTCATCCGCCGCCCCGCTGTCAAGCTCCAGGGGCAAGATGTCGTCCATCCCTGATGCGGCGGCCGAACAGGGATACTCCTCGCCACTCATCTCGTGCGTCTTGAGCCGTACCCTCCGGGCCAGCAGCCACACGAGAGGTTCCATGCCAAGCCGAAACACAGTCATGGCATCTTGATCACCAAAGGTGCTGTCGTGTCTTGGGAAGCGGAGCAGCCTCATGAGGAAGCGCACGACGCGATGAGTAAAGGACAGTGACGCAGATGGGTTGGAAGGGGGAGAGAGGGGGTGCGTCACGGGGAGGGAAGGCGGAGCGGAGCCGTCGTCACATGCCAATTGCGCCTCGTCCGCTGAAGCAACGGACCTCATCGGAAGAAAACACACGCTGCGCGTCGGTCGAAGTTTGAGCTGACACACGAGTGACGTTTCCTAGAGGAGATGGTCAGGATCACTGGCGTAAAAGCCACGCACGCAGATCTTCGCAACTGCGAGCTTGACAATGCGAGCTAAGAGTGAGAGGCGCATGGCTTCTCTTTATCGCGCCTACACGCTCCCCAAGGATCGGCCGGGGCGGTTTGGGCGGGCAGAGTCTGATTCGATTGCGGCATCCAATGAGACCAGCCAGCATGACTCAATCGACATCGACACAAACACCAAGAGAAAGCGACAGCGGTCGGCGGCCACGAAGGCAGCGCCCGAGACGGACGTGCTCGGCCTGATGACAAGGATCTGGAGCCAACAAATATCGCCGAGGAGAAAAGACAAGCCGAAGTCCCCCAAGCGAGACAGAAGAGAAGACACCGACAAGGTCGGCGAACTCAAGAATCAGCTGGAGGAAATGAAGGCTGAAGTGAGCAGTTTGCAAAGGCGCAGCATCGCCCGCAAGTCTGACGCAACGACACTGCGAGCAATCGATGAATTGCGCGGGTCAGCAAGACCCTCTGGAAGGCCTCCACGGGAGCTGAGGGCGCTGGACGAGCGGATGCAAGATATGCAGAGACAATGGGAACGACAGCTGGAACTCCTCACGTCTCACTTGGATGGCCGGGAAAGGGAGGACGAGAAGATACGGACGGAACTACAAGAGCTGAGAAGAGACCGAGACGCAACACAGCAGCCCCTCCATCGCCGGCTAGAGCGTCGAGTTAGCGACCCTGCCTCTTCCGTCCCGGAAACGGCAACGATTGCAACCCCGCCTTCACAGACCGTCGTCGCCCCTCTGGAATCGCCACGACGCTTGTCGGCCATCAGCCAGCGCATCAACGACGCAGCAGAGAGGATGGGAAGAGTGGAGAGAAGGCTGCAGACTTTGGAGAGAGACCTTGAAGACATATTGAGCACTCATGCGGTGATGAGGGAGTGCATTGTTGCGGTGCGCGATGAGCTGAACGCTGAAATTACCGACTTGAAAAGACAAACGGGGGAAGACAGAATAACTGTGGAGAAGGCACTTGCCGATATAAAGAAGTCCATTAAGGACGAGTCTTTTGCCATGCGCAAGGCCCTGACTGAGGAGAGAGAGTGTCGAAGCGAGGGGCTCGAGAAGATTCACTGCGCGATCCAGAAAGACAGGGCTGCGGCTGTGAGAGAGTTTGACATCCTGCATGAGCACTGTGAACGAGACCGGGGACAACGGAAAAGACTGACCACCAAAAGGGTACGCTGCATGGAATGAGACACACAACACACACACCAACTTTGGAATGTGGCTTCCTCTCCTGAACAGATCGGTCCCGAAGACATTGATAGGAGACATGTAGGTTTGCCAGGAGAAGAGCCTGGAGCAGATGTTCCCCTTTCTCCGAGCATGTCGCACGGCACAGTGATCATCATCTCATCATCTCAATCGCCGGCGGTCTCTTTGCTGAGACATCAGATCGTATTCGACTCAAACGGTACGCTGTTGCCTCCTAGACATATTTAGAAAAAGACACGCACTCTCTGTTGCCTCCCAGAGACGTGTTGTACGCGCAAGACAACGGATTCCGACCGCTGCTGGTATGCGGGAGCACACAAGATGAGCCAGGCCAAAGACACACACACAACCACTCTCTTTCGAAGTAGGTCATCGGCTGTCCGCCATCACTTCGGGTCAGACCTCCAGAGGAATACCTCCGCCAGCTGCGGCAAGCTGTCTCAGAAACGTTGGAGGACCGCGCAGCCGTACTTCCATGTAAGTGTATTACTGATGTCGGCGTGCAGCTGCTGACTTTGGTTGGGAGCATGTCTTGCGAATATGTGTGTGCAGTGAATGAGGACGCCACGAATGCCGTCCCACAGCCGGGGCACTTCCGCAACGTGCTGGACGTGAGCAAGAGGACTCTTGGTGACGGGGCGAGGCTCTGTCCTGGGCGTTTCTTTGTCATTGCCGCCATGGGTACGGTATACCATACCGCATCCTCTTGATTGATGTACCTGATTCTCCTCCATTTTTGCGTGTATTGCGCGTGCCTTGATGAACGTTTGTCTGCAGCAGTTCTCTGCGTGCTGGCTCCTTCGTGAACGCCCTTGTGGATCCACACGAAGCTGCTGCTGCCATCGCAAGGACACTCGGTGAGTAGGCAATATATACATCGATAGATAGACAGATAGATACGCCTTCGTTGTTTGCAGTTGCATGCCATTGGGTCGCCATAATAGAGGAATGGGAGGGCTGTAAGGAGTCCAAATGTATTAGGCCTGAAGACGTCAACAACTTCATCCGGACAGCAAATCTGCCGGTACGCCGCTCATAGTCAGGTCTTCGCTCAGCACCTCTGGTCCATGTCTCATGCTCCTGTGAATTCATGCAGGAATCGATCAATCGCATTCTGACGCTGCAGTCGCAGACCGTCATCGTGCGGGGTCCCCCGCTGTGTACAGGGGTGTATGGCTCTCTGGCTGCGCCCCATGCCGTGTACGAGCATTTGTTTTCCGGAGACAAACGAGGCATTGTCATAAGACAGGAAAGCAAGTAGCGTGTCCTGCCCTGTGTTGAGACTTGCATGTCTCACGTACATGTTTGCACTACGTGTATTTGTACACGAAGCGAAGCACACAATCGCATTGAGTCGTCGGTTGACACAGTTGAGGACGATATCGATGGCCGGCATCATGCTTTCGAGTGCGTTTGTGTGCCTCGCGGTTGTGAGTGTCGGGTCGGTGTCGCTCACTGGTCGGCTTCGAGATGTGCCGTCGAAGCTGCAGGAGGTCGCCACCCTCAACGCCCAGCTCAAGTCACTCGCATCGGTAACACAATGAAAAGCATCCACTCAGTCACTCATCGGCCGGGTGAGGGTCTTTTGTGTGTGTGCAGTCGGGTCAGTCGTCGTACCGTTCGTAAAAAGACGGCTCCGGCCGATGGCGTCTCCTTGTCCATGTAAAGTGACGCCGCTGCGAAGCCGTCCTCGACGAGTGTGCCGTGGTGCATGAGCAGTGCACCAGGCAGCACAGACGAGGACACGGACAGACCAGCCTCATCCTAAGACACACACAGAGAGGGAGAGAGATTGCTGTGTGTCTCATGGCCATGACGTGTGTGTGAATGAGTGTACCTGTGCAATGACGATTGGATGGCCGGCCGAATGCTTGGCGAAGTGCCACCTGCCCGACGGGCCGCTCGGCGGATCGATTACCTCCCAATTGCTGGATGATAAAGCATACAGACAGACAGAGACATTGATCAAGTTGTCTATGTCCTTGAACTGAAGCTCTCACCAACAATCAGTAACAGACGCCACACGCACACACACACACACCCCTCTCTGTCTGCACTGGGGTGTCTATGTGCAGATTATCGGGGCGTCATGGGTGTGTTCGCCTCCGGCCGCGCTTTGTTCCACTCGTTCGCGTGCGGCTTCCGAGGCGATGAAAGTTTGGTCGGCGGTGCATTTTCCCACACACAGCCAATGCCGCAGCTCACCGCAGCCAAAAAGAGGGAGGGGAACCCTTCACCACAGCAAGGTGAGTGTCCTCACCCAACCACATAACACACCCATATGTAATGTCTCGCTGTCTGTGTATGCCGTTCGATTCAGTGTCGACGCCCGGCGCTCCCTCACCCTCACTGGCCGCAGCGGCCGTGCCTCGTCAGTGTCTGTACACCATGCCCGACATGCCCACGATCGAGTGAGTGGGCAAGCAAAGGAAGCAACACGCAGCAGGCAGTATTGTTGTGTCTGTCGTGTGTGCAGGGATTGGGAGGACGGCGAGTGGGGGTGGGTGGTGCTGCGCGAAAGAGGAGAAGTCATCGCCTCGGCAGCGTCGGTGAGCATTGCACTAACACACGCACGCACACACACACACTCCCTCTGTGTCTGTGTCATCAGAGTGCACGTAGCGCGTTGCTGCTGAAGGACATTGCTTGTGGCCCGATGACGATGGGCGTCTCCCTCGAGCTGAGGGGCGACGACTGTGCGGGCGGACCGACCTTCAGATCTCATGGGCCGGACAGGCGATACATCGTCACACTCGATGCACCCACGTCAGTCAGACACGGCACATGAGACACAAACACACACAGCGACATGGCAAGTGTCTCTTGTGTGTTCAGAGGTCGTCTGTTGCTCAAATCTCAGAACGCCGCCTCCCCAGTCGTCATCGCATCCAACTCCGTCCCACTCACATCCGGGTGAGATTGCCCAACGCCAGCGTCATGTGTGTGATATGATGTGTGTGTCCATGTGCCTCAGTTTGGTGTATGACGTGCAAGTGACTGACAAGTCCATCACGCCGACCACCTCACTCGTGTCGATCAGCATCGACGGCCACACAAAACTGCACAAGGAGATCCCCAAAGACAACACACCAGGCAACCAGACACACTGACACACAGACATTCATGCAGACAGATAGCTAAGGTGTGTGTGTGCATGTTGCGTGCAGGTGGTGTGGGATTGTTCATCGAGAGGGGTGATGTCGAGTTCAAAAAATTTCATGTCGGCCCGCCCAGCGACACAGAACAATTCGACTGATCAACGCGTTACACAGACAAACACAGACAGACAGACAGACAGAGAGACAGACACATGGATGTGTACATGCTGCATGACTCATGGATGACCAAAGTCACCGACAGATTGATATCCGTGTGTCTCGCCTTGTCTTGAGACTTGCATGTATGTCTCTATGAAGACGGTCCGCTACAGCTATCCACCCACATGCGAATCACTTACTCCTCTTCAGCTCGAATACCTCAATCTCATTTTCATCCAACACAAGCGACTTCAGAAACTCACAGTCACGCCCCCTGCCGGCAGCCGACAAACCATGCGACTTCTTATCAAAGAAAGTGCGTATGGTGGCCTCTGTCGCCACTCGCTTCACCAACACATCAGAGGGGAGGGAGGCGAAGAACTCTCTCTCCTTCTCGCTGTCTCGCCACATGTGGGCGAGGAGACACACAGTCTGGGGCGATAATAGCTCCAGCAATGTCTCTTTGAGGGGCTCATGAGCATCAGAAAAGGCGAGCACGTCACAGCACAGCAAAACATCGATGCTCCTGGCACCGGACTGCAATAGAACATTTCCCGAGTCGGCCGTCCCCCACTGCAGGCGCTCCACTTGCGGCATGACGGCGGGCAGCCGGCTGTCTTCGTCTGCTGGGCGCAGCCCAAAGAGAGAGCGGTTGTGCTCGACATTGGACGACAGGAAAGGAAGCACAGACTCTGAAGGGCACATACAGCACCACTTACAAGAACCCCCACGAGATGAACGACTTACCCTGGTCGGTGAGGACTACTCTGGCTCCGAGACAGGCGGCAGTCAGGCCACACAGGCCACAGCCGGCCCTACAAGCAGACACATGAGGCTGACATGCGGCAATGCATGCACGCCTATCCGGCGACTCCCATCCACCCGAGTTCCACGATTGTTGTCGGGGTCGCAAAACTCATCGTGCCCTCGTGTGCGCACTGCTCGAGGTATCTGAGGATGTTCCGCCTTTTGATCGACGCATGGCTGTCTGTTTGAGCTTGATCACCTTGATGCGAACCATGCGCATGGCCAGACTTGCTGTCCGACGAGGCCCCATTTGTCTTGATGCAGCACAATGGTCGCTGAAGAACGAGGCAGCAGCTCGTAAGTGAAGTCCCGACTCATTGTACGTTTGACCTTTGTCCACACTTGCCTGACGTCTGTTCCATTAGAGAGACGCCCCCACATCGCCCCCATGTATTTCAAGCTCGCGCAGATCTTTCCCCTTTTCTCTTCCCCTCAAACAGACCTCATGCATCAGTGCATTTGTCCGATGAAGCGCAATTCCATCAGCATCTGGGATCTCTCCTGGGACGAAGACGAGTTGAAGACGAGGACTGCATCGGTAACGAAAGCCTTAGGCTTCACGATGATTCCATGTTGTGATGTTCATGTCCATTTTGCACCATCCATGTTTGCAGGAAGGTGAGTACAGTATCACACATGGGCGGAGCGGGTAGTCGCCGTCAAGTGACTCCCCACCCGCAGTTCAAGTGACTCAACAACCCGGGGCCCGTGGTCACCAAATCGCTCGATGTGCCCTCCGGTAAGGGGATGATCAATGCATTGAGCTGCACCGTGTACGCGTATCTGGTCAATGACATGCAGCCACAGCCTCGTCAGCCCTTGTGCCCGTCGCCGTTTCAGCGCCCCCGTCACAGGCAGGAGCTAATTGCCTGTGACGGGAGGCAATCCGATGTATTGATGGATGTCAGACCGACATCTTCGAGGCCGGGGAGGCCGGCGATCCTGAGTTGGTCCGGGCAATTCTCGACACAAGTGACGACGAGCGCATCCTCGACGGGCGAGACGGAGACGGATTCACACCCTTCATTCTACCATGGCCATGTCGCTCTAATGTCCCTCATGAGTGAGCGAGACCACCAAGGTACATCAATATCGATGGTGTTGGTGGTGGGGAGATGTCGTGGCTGTCTGATGGAATGCAGGGCCGCGTGACAGCAATGCACTGGGCCGCCAGGGGGGGGCATGTTGCGGCCGTCAACCAGCTGCTCAAGTGGGATCCCCATTTGTGGGGTGCACACAGCGAGGTAACAGAACAAACACATGTCGCTGTGTGGGTTCCCTCCTGTGTTTGTGTGTTACTTTCAGAATCGCCGCACACCATTCATGCTGGCTGCCGCGTATGGTCATGTATGAAAGGTGGGTTGGTTGGTTGATCGGGACACACATAAGTGTCGCTGCAATCAATGGGTGGGATGCCCCTCACAATCCATCCATCCCTTCTGTGCCTCTGTGTGGCCGTGAATGCGAGCGAACCAACCACGGAATCGACACCAGGCGCGTCGCTCGCAACGCAGCATGCATAATTCACTCACTCGGCTGTACGTCTGTTGTTGTTTTTGAGGTCCAGCTCATATGCATCCATCTCACGTGGACTGATCGATCATGCAAATGAGGCACAAAGAAGCACCACCAACCGTCCGTACGTGCAGGCAATTCAAAACGACTGCACTCATGCACAGTCATGTGCGTGCGTACATGTGTACGTGTCATCGATCAGGTCCTGAATGGGTTGGGACACGCGTCTTTCTTCTTGTCGACCAGCCTCTTGTCCTCGTCTCTGATCTTAAAATAATCCCAGTTCCCTTTGTGACGCACGTGCCACTCACGCATCTTGTCCAGATAGATCCCAAGCCCTCGCAGCTGACACACACACACACACACACACATCCAACATGCATGGATCTCGTATTTCCCCTCTACCCGCTTCTGTCTGTCCGACCTTAGCAGCGATTTCGATTTCTTCCGAGTCGACAAGGTCGATTGCGTCAGGGACGAAGTCAGGGTCGTCCTCATCTCCTGCTGCCGCCATCTGCTGTGCCCTGTAGTGCAGCTGGCCCTGCTCGAGTGCTGTGATGTCACGGCTCACACAATACTCCACCATGTCGTCCTTGTCGTATTGCTGGTCGATCGATTAATCAACCACCCATCAGTGCACATACACACATGGGTACAGCGTCTGGCAATGCGTTTGTGTCGATGTTGTGGATTGTGTTTGGGCGGCATAGTGTTTGTAGTTGTGTTTGAGCTGCTAGTAGTGTATGTGGTGATGTATGATCAGCCAGTTCATCCGTGTCCAGTTCGTCGCATGCTGCTATCAGTCATGCACTAGAGTGCACTTGCGCTTTTGTGATACGTGGAATGTCACCCATCTGTCTGTTTCTTCCATGACGTGTTGGTCTCAAACAAAGACACAAGCCCGATTATGGGCGTCCTCCTTTCCCTTGGCACGTAACCTGTGTCAAACACCAACCCCAAAGTCGACGAGTGAGGGATGACACACAGCACGCAGCACGAACCGACACGACGCAACGACACTAACTACCCGCCTTCGAAAAATGTTCACACACCCACGGCAAAGGCATCAGCATTGGAGGCAGTCGAAAAGGCAATCCTCTATGTCATCGGGGTCGTCGAATTCGTCATCGCACTCCGAACAACAGATCTGCAGATAGACAACAGACCACAGATGAGTACGAGACTTCGTCGTGTACACATCTCACTCACGAGTTGTCCCGAAACAGGGAACGAATGACTCAGGAACACAGCCAGGACCACGCTGACAAACCACAGGAACCTCATCCTGTCGCGTGCACCTCAGCCCACTGTACGAACGTAAAGTTCGCTGCCGGCCGTTACGGCCGCTAAGTGGTTCCCAGTCGCCGAGTCTGTACTTTCTCTATGCTGCTTGGAGGTTGGTTCATTGTGGTGATCATCCTTCTGAGTCAATGGGAGAGGCGCCAGGGTGCTGTGGCTCAGTTCACGACCGCCTGTCTGAGCAACAACACGAGAGAGACCGACGACGGACAGTCAACCAACACAAACGCAGACTGCCAGGCGGGTAAGGACAACAGAGGCGCACTCAACAAACAGTTGGCTGTGAATGGCCTCGCTTACTTCAGCCGTGGACCCTGACGGTGAGATATTTTCGAGTTGTGCGGACAATCCGCTGCTGCCCATCCTCGATGACCCCGACCTGGGCAACTTCGGCCAGTGCTTCTATGAGGAGAACGCCCAGGAAAAGCTCAAGGAGCAACAGACAGATGCGCTGAACGATGAGGACTCGGATACTTTCGGCACTGTCACTGCGACTGGGGGCAACCAGAGCCAGTTGTGCGGCGAGCCGAGCGGCGTCGATCGCACAGACGTCACTGATGTGGGAACTGCGGCGCTCGGAGGGTGCGCACTGAATAATTCTGTGGTTACGGCACGATCGGAATGTGTGATGCTGTCTGTCAGTTGCCCATCGGACAAGATATGTGCGCGCACGAGCGACTCCCGCTTCTGCTACTGCATCGAGGAGCCCATTGGTCTGTTCGGCGAGGTGGCAGAAGTCTCGCGCGGCGATGTCAGCTTGACGAGGGGCGTCGTCAGCGGCCAGCCATCGTCTCTGTGTTTCCCGGCCGAGCTGGATCCTTGCTTCAATGTCGTCAACCGCTTCGCTGTGCCCTTCGACTGTGCGGACAGCCTGCCCGTTGTGGACAGAAGGGGAGAGGAGGGGCCTAATGCTGCACAGCAGAGCGTGTTTCCGTTCGCCCCGCCTCCGGTGCCGCAAGAGTCGACATTCGCGCAGATTGTGCCGGGGACCTATCTGTTTGAAGACGTACACTCCAATGCCTACCTGCCGACCATCGACAACATCGGCGAAGATGTGTCGAGCTGTATGAGGATCCAGGGCAAGAGTGACGATGATAGCGGGCTTGATGGCTTCTTTCTGGACTTGTCGTGCAATACGACAGCGGGCGTCAGCTCCACTCTTCAATTTACCTGCCCCGAGACCGGCCTCTGCTCCCAACGCGAAGAGAGGGAGCTGCAACCGGCAGTCGCCACCATTCAGGGCGTCATGCGCGTAGAGAATGCCAGCAATCCGGCATGTAAGGGAGTGGAGGCGCAGATCGAGGTCACATTGACGGGCTTTGTGGATGAGTCGGAGTCCCTCATTGCGCAGCAGTTTCACTACGACGAGCCGCAGCGGATTCTGATCATCGGAAACGACGAACAAAGCGATCTGGTCATCGCACGGGTTATCGCTATACTATCCCCCGCGGCTCACACACCTCTCGGCCTCTTGACCTTCCCCGATGACGTTCCTGAGGAATGTGATGTTCTGCTCAACGAGCGGATCTTTACGGTGACATCGGGCGAGACAGAGGCGGGCGGCATCCTTGCGCTGGCTGTCTCGGGCTACGGAAGGGATGTATCGACCAGGGGCACCATCTCAAAGGTATGCGGGATGGGCGGCGGACACCAGTACATTAGTATGTGTCTCGTTTGCCTTTACGTATCATCATCAGAAACCGTTGGAGGCCAGCGACTTCGCTTTTGACAACCAAGAGGCGTTCTGGAACTGCAGTGAGATCTGCCGGAATGCGACGGAAGAGAACACGCAAGACAGGGAAATGGGAACTGCATCAAGTGAGCAAACGGGCCTGGCGGCACCGATCCCCATTATTCTGGGCGAAGATCTCAGCCGTGCGCTAGTTGGGGAAGTTCTTCCTACGATCTTGTTTCCCATCTATAATCCTGATGAGTCTCCACAAATGTCGTTCAGCAGTGCTTTGATCGGGGACAGGCGGTTTGTCGTAACAAGCTTTGACGTAACGTGCTTGGACAACACGGACGCCGGCATCAAGTTCAGCAACTCGTCGGAGGTGCGTCCGCACACTGTCTCTGTGCTGTGTACGAAGCCTCCCGACGAGGAGCGGCCGTCCCAGGAGAGAGGACCCAGATCATTCGAACTCTACAACGCGGAGACGGGAGTGCAGCTCGATCTGATCCTGAAAGGGCAGCTGGGGCCGCTGGTCGACGGCAGAGAAGGTACACAGCGATGGACGTATCAGTCAGGCAGGGGATGACGATATATTCTTTGTTGTGCGTGTCTGGATCAGCGTTGACAAATTGCCGCGGATTCAGGCTGCAGGACCTCCCTGTTGGTGCGAACCCTGGTATTAGCTTTCGCTACGAGATAACCAACGCTAGTTTCCTTGGTGAATACGTGGGTATTGCTGTCCCGCCGGGCGATTCGCCTGAAGAAGGAGTCCTTGGAGGCGACCTATGTGTGGGTGCTCGGGTAAGAGGAAGACACAGCTGTGCGGATCGAGAGGCGGGCGAGCACAGCTTCAGCATCTCCATCCAAGTGCTGCGATCCAAGGATGATGACATGGAATCCAACTGCAGAGACAGAATTATTGCCCACTTTAATGAGACGGATGGCCTCCCAGAGAATGAAGAAGTCATCTGGGATGAGTACTGTGAAATCAGATATGAATGCTGTAAGCAAGCCATCAGAATGGTCCCGCAGATCACTGCCATGTATTATGCCCTTGTGAGCTATCTCAGTTGAGGCGTGTCCTGAAGTGGCTCTGAATGCCTCACCTACCGCTCAGCCATCAAGTTATCGCATGATGGACGCAAGTGAAGGCTTTTGCATTAAGCTAGTCAACGGCACGACAAACGCGGAGGAGTCCTTTGAAGCCCGGTTCAGCTGTGAAGGCGAAGGGACTGATAATGTTGCAGCTGGTTTGCGACTGGGAATCAGATATGATGTGGAGGAGCTGGATGGACGAGTCGTGCCCTTCGACCGTTCCACGGGGAAGCCTCTGGAGCCGGCTGGCTTTGCCAATGTGGACTTCAAGGGCACAGTGAGACAGCTGTCTCCAGAGGAATGCGCTGGGACCCTGATGTTTGTCGAGGGTACATGTACACTCATACACACCGATGCACACACGCACACACACATCGAGAGAGAGGGAGAAAGATGCCTGCTTCTTTTGTGTTGTCCTGCAGGCACTCTAGTTGGCGCCTTGAGCTTTGATACTGTTGGCTCTGAGACTCTCGAAGACCCTCTAGAAGAAAGATACCTCCCTGTCATCCAGCGGTCACGGATCCGGCTTGTGCCTGAGCTTTATATCACAAGTAGTGCATCCTTGGGAACTATGGACTACACCATCATCTCTACCCCTACTGACAGGAAAGAGTGCTTCGACGTCACAGATAGGCTGACCTATAAGAAGGAGGCTACGATTGACGTTCAGCAGCCAGATGGCACCGTCAAGGAGGAAACAATTGTCTTTCTAGCCCCCCAGCTGGATGTTCGGGATTCGGAAGAAGACAGCAATACGACCGAAGCGTTTGCTGAGTTCAGAGTCTACGATGAGAAGGATGTAAGGAGTGGAGGTTTTATTACAGAGATGGCAGGGCTGCTGCGTCAAGTCTGCGGGATCGAGGAAAGAGGTGCGACAACTCACTGATATGCGCGCAGACTTCGTTGCTTCTTCTTGCTTTTTTACTCAGGCTCGACTGCCGTCCAGATTCAATGTCTCGCTCACAAGCCTTTCAGGCTTTTCGCCAATGAGACAGACATCGAGTTAGGGGAGAGCGAGCTGAAGTAAGCACACGACGAGAGAGGAGACCCACATGGCTTGACTTGTCGCTCTGCGTTTTTTCCCTTTTCAAGTTCCATCGCCCGAGTGCAGAGAAACGGGAGCGATCCCGACGATTTGACGCTCCAGACGCTAGCAAACTTTACCATCAGCTGCTCGTGTAACGACGTCGAGCGCATCAAGAAGGAGACCAATGGCGGGGATGGGTTCATTGTGCGGGCCATCCCTTTGTTTGTTGACATCGGCGCGAACGTTGATGGAGACAAAGTGCAGCAGCTGTGCCCCGTTCTCACCGTTTGCGGTGCGCTGATCAACTTTTTCAGAACGATAAAGAGATGGCTCTCGCGATCAACTTCGTTTTCCTTCAGATCCGCCGTCTCCTGGACACTGCGACGAGAATGACCAGGAGACGTCATCTCGTCCATGACTGAGACCTACGGCGCGGCAAAATAGAGCTGGGAGACACCTTTCGCATGGGATGAAGGGACGGAGATTTTCCATTCTCTATAATCACATTCTCTGCGGCAAGTAATCGTCAGCCACACACGCATGTGTGACCTGCGACAAGGTACGCAGCAAAGAGACACAAAGGGTGCTCTTGCCGCCTAATTCATTGGACGAAAAGGATTCCTTTCTCGTGTGTGTCCATATACTCAGTTGCCATTCGCCATGTGTGCAGACGAAGACAGCAGTGGCGTAATCGACGTGTGAGCGGCTGTGAAGCACGTCAACAGATAGATACACATCTGATAGGAGGATATCCGGATATCCATTTATGGCGTTCCTTCTGAACCTCGCTTCAAGTCAACTACCCCTCTCCGCCACCCTTCCCTCTTCCCCATCTTCACGCCTGTGAGCTTCCCCGACAGCGTGTCCGCGTTTGCCGGCGTGGTGCCCTGCGAGATCTTGCTGATGGTGCATCGGCGAGAGTCCTGCAGGCCACTACCCGACGGACGTCCCTTCTCCCTTTCGTCAATAGTCCGCTGAAGCACGAGGTGGACTGCCTTGGCAAGGGGGTTTGTCGCCGTGTCTGCTGGCAAACGCCGGGAGGGCGGTGACACGAGCATCCGGTTGATGGTGTCATAACCTTCTCTATGTTTCTCTGTTTCTTTCTGTCATGGCATGGTTGACTGGATGTCTGTGATTGGCTGGCAGTGTTCTCGTCTGGGTTCTTTCGTGTGATGTGACCATCCACCCTAATCCACCCCCTCCCCCTTTCCCCCACCCCCTGTCCACCCTGAGTGCCTGGTACGTACGGTTCGTCTGTGTGATATGGGTCAGTTTGGGTGAGATTTTTCACGATTTCTCTTCGATGTTGTGCCTTGGTCTGCTCCCCCTCCCTGCCTGTCACCGCATATCTCTACAGTGCCTCGTACGCCAAAAGGCGACCGTTAACGCACAGACTTCCTTTCGTGCAGCCTTTGACTTAATCGACGTGTGAGCGGCTGTGAAGCACGTCAACAGATAGATACACACGTATTTGTCCTGTAATTTGTCGGTAATTGCATGCATCTATGTGTCGGTAGGTCGAGACCGCAGTCTGCTGTGATGCGCCTCGCCACCTGTGGATAGATAGGGTAGTGCGCGAGAGACGATGGCCAATGAGACACGCGCTCGTCCATTCGGCCATCGATATACACATGCGGATACATATGGCGGCGGAAGCACAGATGTATGGCTGCCTGTGAATCGGTTGCTGTTCGACCAGCAAAAATACACACGTGTGGACGTCCTGTGTATGCACGTCTGGACGTAGATACCCCTTTCAGTGAATGAATGCATCTCATTCCGCACCATCCACAGACATGCATGTGTCCAATTGACCGTCAAACACACACATTTATGCACGTCTGCGGTGCGTGTGCATGATATTCACTGTCACTCTATCTCTGTCTTGATGCTATACATTGTAGAGTGATGCCGCAGCGGCAGGCCGAGAGCGAGACAGAGACACATGCGAATAGACTGATGCCCGCATCAGCAAGAGACAGACAGACACACACACACACGCACCACGTCACCAATGCTGTCTGGCTGTGGTGCCGACAGATACTGTATATTCATGTACATGTGTCTGAAAGGTGGGTTCGTTGGTTGATCGGGACTTGATCGGGACAAACATAAGTGTCGCTGCAGTCAATGGGTGGGATGCCCCTCACAATCCATCCATCTTTTTTGTGTCTCTGTGTGGCCGTGAATGCGCGCAAACGTACCAACAAATCGATATCAGGCGCGTCAGCATAATTCACTCACTCAGCTGTACGTGTGTTGCTGTCTAGATCTATGCTTGTGCACTTGTTGACGGTCAGCTCATCCATGGCCATCTCACTGGTCGATCATGAGACACGAAGAAGCACCACCAAAAGTCCGTACGTGCAGGCAAGTCACAACTCACGTACACACATGTACGTACACAATGTGTAGATCGATCGACGCATGATGGATATGTAGAATGATGCATCATGTACGTGCGTACATGTGTACGTGTCATCGATCAGGTCCTGAATGGGTTGGGACACGCGTCTTTCTTCTTGTCGACCAGCCTCTTGTCCTGGTCTTTGCCCTCAAAATAATCCCAGTTCCCTTTGTGACGCACGTGCCACTCACGCATCTTGTCCAGATAGATCCCAAGCCCTCGCAGCTGACACACACACACACACACACACGCACACACACAGAAACATCCAACATGCATGGATCTCGTATTTCCCCTCTACCCGCTTCTGTCTGTCCGACCTTAGCAGCGATTTCGATTTCTTCCGAGTCGACGAGGTCGATTGCGTCAGGGACGAAGTCAGGGTCGTCCTCATCTCCTGCCGCCGCCATCTGCTGTGCCCTGTAGTGCAACTGGCCCTGCTCGAGTGCTGTGATGTCACGGCTCACACAATACTCCACCATGTCGTCCTTGTCGTATTGCTGGTCGATCGATCAATCAACCACCCATCAGTGCACATACACCCATATGGCTGCAACGTCTGTCAATGTATGTGTGTAGGCTGGACGGATGTGTACCTTGAAGTAGAGTGCGCCTGTCCCGGCAGCCTCGAGCGATGCATACCGATAAAGGGTGAAGAACATGGGCGTCAGGACCAACAACTGCACGCAACCAACACATCAACCGACCAACCACACACAGAGCGACGTCATACGTGGAATGGCTCACCCGTGCAGGTATGACAGTGTGGGCCCCTTCGGGCACTCTCCACGCGAGGAATGGCAGCAGGGCGCAGTTCATGGCGAGCCACCCGAACATTCCCTTGGTGTAGGTCGCACGCACCAGCGGACACACACGGTACAGATACGCCTGCACCAGCCGCTGCGGCGTGTCGCTGCCGTGGTACACTCGCACAAACGGACGATGCTGCAGCGAAAGAAAACACGCAGACAGACAACTCATCCGTTCGTCCATCCATCCATCCGTCCATTGCACCGCCCTCCCTCCCTCGTGTTACGCTTGGGTCTGCAGCCGTGTACTGTGATTTTGCGCATGCGAGGTTCCTGAATGTCAGCTCGTGCGGGCTGGTCGTGGACAAGGCGGGATCGACGAGGTAGCGCTTCAGGTAGTCCTTAAAGACGTCACGGTCCTCTCTCGGGTAGAAGTACTCGTTGTATCTCCTCTCGCCCTCCTGCAGAAGCCGCCGCACCGAGCTGTCCTCCTCGATGATGTTGTTGCGCACGGAAAAGAGCACCGGCACCTTGGCGAACTCGGGCAGACGGATGAAGTACAGATCTGCAGACAACGGCATACAACAAAGTGAATCAATCAAATGGATAAATGAATCAATGAATGCATCGCCTCTTCGCGCGTGTGTTTGCTCACTGCATAGTGCCATTTCACTCCAACTATTGCGAGCTCAGATGTGCGGAGCTTGGTTCGGCGAATCCGAAACAAACGTGGACGTGACCAATTGGACGTGACGGACAGCAACGTGCATCAGATTGTGAGATTTCTGTGTTGGTTGAAGCATGCTTGTTGAGTTGCATTACCGCACGGGTTGGTCGAAGTGTCTGCTGCACTACTGCCCTTTCGGAGGATCATGGGAGGACGCAATCATGGAGGTGACGAGCAGAAACAGGACGGCCACGACACCATCTCGCATCAGCGTCTCATTGTGTCTGGTCTGCATGTGCATGTGCGTCTGTGTGGTGCAGGCAGACAAGCAGGGGTGGGTGAAGGCCCGTGTGGAGCTTAGTGGAGGCGGCATGGAATTCGTATTGCACAACGGACAAGGCGCATGGGACAACCCACCACCCTGGTGCACAGAACCAACGCGCACCAGTCGAAGATACAACATTCTGTCTTGGCTCTCTGTGAACGTCTGCGTGCAGGTATGGCCACCCGAACTATCGGCTCGATCTGCCGTCCCCCCTTCCCCCGGCCCCTCTGAAAGTCACGGTGATGAATGGGCGCGTCTGTCTGCTCGACGGGCCTCGCGTGTTGGTGGCCACCGACCTTGACGGCACACTTGTGGGCCACGATGACTACCTCGAGGCATTCAAGGAGCACTGGACGGCCTACCACGCATGCAGAGGATCCATCCTGGTGAGGGCCACAGAGGCAAAGCACGTGCATGCATCAACGGGGAGATCATCCCTCGCTCTTTTTTCCGCTTCGGCAGGTGTATTCGACTGGCCGGAACTTGAAGGACTTTCTTCGCGTGGCGTGTGAGAAGAAGCTGCTTCGCCCCGACTATGTGGTGTGCGGCGTGGGGACTGAGATCTACACCTTTCCCGACTCGCTCCCGCCCGAGGTGGGCACCGCTCGGCTGCCGCAGCACCTGGCTGCTCTGGCGAGCAAACACCAGAAGGAGGGCAAGCCGCCACTGGAGGAATTCGACCGTAAGCACGATAGAAAGAAAGAAGAAGGAATACGTGTGGACGTGCATTCTGTCCTGTTCCTTGGTGTTGCCAGCCACTGTGCAGGATGGCGACATTTGCTATCCGTCGTGGTGTCAGTCGCGTGCTGGAGCTGTGTTCGATGAGGAGTGGCTGAGCAAGATGGTCGATGAATTTGACCGACCCGCCGTCATTGACGACATACACGTACGCACAGAGGGCATGTCGGGGCGGGGCTATGGCAGCCATAATTTGCTTGGCTCGTTTCCTTCAGTCGAAGTTTTCCTGGCTGGATCCGAAGGGCAATCTGTATCATGACCCTTTCCGCGTGTCGGCCATGGCCAAGGCGGACGACGTCTACACTGACGGACACATTGACGTGAGAAACGAAGGGACATATCTGCTGTGTTGCATTTCATGCGTCCATGGATGTGATGTGTGGTGTATGCAGTCGTTGCGTCATCACTTCAAGGGCTGCCACATCATCGTCAGCGGCGGGGGCGAGTTCAGGTACTCAGACAGACAGACTCACACAGACAGAGACGGGCCGTCTCTTCCTATCGCGTGTCGTTGGGATCTGTGCCATGTGGGTGTGTTGCAGGTATGTTGACGTGACGCCTCACTCGGCCGGCAAGCTGCGGTCGCTCCTCTACTTGATGGAGAAGCTGTCGTTCGGCCCTCGAGAGGTGCGCACGGCAAAAGCAGCACACATCAGCAGACACATTGTATCGCTTCATGTGTGCAGACATTGGTGTGCGGCGATTCGGGCAATGACCTCTTTATGTTCCTGCACCCCGACATCCGCGGCTGCTGCGTCGCCAACTCACAGCCAGACATGATCGCATTCCTCAAGGTTGGCAGCACACAACAAAACGCATAGCCAGAGGGCAGCGAGCCACACACATCAGGGATGCATGCCTCCTCAACGTAGGGCGACGCCGAGGAGATGGCCAAGCACCCGCACCTGCAGAACCTGCACGCCCACCACCACGCCCCGCCGCCTCCCTCCAACCCGTCGGCGTCCACCAAGGCCACACCCTCATCGAGCGTCCAAGGCGGCGCATCGCCCACCCACAACGACCCATCACTAGAGCCCGAGGCCGAGACCATGACTGAGGAGGACCGACGGGGGAACAATGCCGCGGCCGCCGAAGACGACACCGAGGAAGAGGACACGCCAGACCCACACAAGAAATCACAGCATGTACGTGTGTGCGGAGAATGGGGATGGGGCACGGAGGGATGGCGGCGTGTCCGTCTGTCTGTCGTATCAATCAGGTGTGTTTTGCGAGTCGCGATTGCGCTGGTGGCATCTTGGAGTCGCTGGTTCACCACGGATTCGACAAGGCCGAGAATGTCCGCTTTGCCTACTAGCCGAATGAATGCTGCCGTGGTGCGAATGTGTAGGCAGGCTGATGTGGCTGGTCCACGAGATTGTTGTGTGTAGAATCAGTGAGTAGGGAGGATGATAGTGCCTGCTGTGTGCTATTCAGTGAGGTGAGAGCATTCTTTTTGAGTGCGGCAGTTTTGATCTGACAGTCAGTGGACATGGCACGCCGAACTCACATCAAGACCAACATTAACATAAGGGAAATGACGACAACATAACCAAGAGCCGCCCCAAGACCACCACACATACACACAGGCTGTCCACACGTGCACACAATAGTATTCTAATTGGCGATTCCGATTCAGTAGACGCACACGTCACTATGGCACAATGAGATGACACAGCAGCCCGCCACAGTACCCAACTCACTCATACGCGTACACAGTGTGAGTGCCTCTTGGACACCCATATATATCGAATCGAGAACAAATACACAGACACTAGCCCTATCCTCAGACGTACCGATGGCTCGATGGCTGCACGCACGCATCATCAGTTCAGTTGGCGCAGAGGGGCGTCGCGTGGTGCAGTGGCCTCAACACAGTTGGGATTGCAGTTGGCGAAACAGGCCGATGTAGTGCAGCTGGACGCCGACGTCACCCACACGCATAAGAAGACAGAGCCAGCAGCCAGCCAATTGGGGGATGAACTTAGACAGCCTACGAGCATTACTCACCTGCTGCAGCACGGCTGGAGGTGGCGCAGAAGAGCGTCATCGCCTGCATCCACCAATGGCCGAGAAAGGCACAGATAGTGGATTTCATGAGTTGCTCCTGTGTCGGCCGGCGTCGTGTTGACTCACCGCCATGGATGTCGAGCGTCTGCTGGCCGCTCGCTCCTCTCAGCACATTCCCGACACGGTCATTCTGCACCACATCACACTACAGCTGACTTCGCAGTGTCGGCCTTCCGCTCGTGTGTGTCTCACCTGTGCGAGTGAAGGCGTGGCCGGCATAGCCAACAGCATGCAGGCAAACCACAAGAGGCTCATCTCCGACCTCTGATCTCGTACGGGAAGGTAAATTCATGCCCCCTTCGCAACGGCAACGAGGAAGGCATCAGAAATGACCACGAGGCTCAGTCACTTGCCGGATGCACGATGGAGTGGTGGCTGATTGAATCGCATGTGGGGAGGCTGGCTGATTACAGTACGTGTAGCGGTCATCTTGCTGAGTCAATGGGAGGAAAGAAGGGCGCTGGCTCAGTTCACGACTGCCTGCCTCACGGGCAACACCTTTGTTGAAGGCAGGTCAGAGGCCAACCGAAACTGTCTGCCACGTGAGGTGCACACGCGGTGTGATGCCGCGCCACGCTCCTTTCGCTGACTCATTCTGTTTTGTTTTCCTTCAGCTGTTGAACTGCTGCCGCCTGGGCTTCCAGGCAGTGACGAGCCACCTATGAGATGCGAGCCCAATGCGCTGCTTCCCATCGTCGATGACCCCGAGCTCGGCAACTTCGGGCAGTGCCTCTACAATGACGCCGCCGAGGAGTGGCTGCGGATCCAACAAGAAATCGCTCTCAACGACGCGAACAGATCGGACACGACGGGTGATGTGACAGCGTCGGGCGAGAACCAATCAATTCTCTGTGGCGAGCCGAGCGGCGTCAATCGCACAAACATCACTGACCTGGGCACAGCGGCACTGGGAAGGTATGCACAGCCGATAGGTGATGATGTTCACTAACATTGTGTCTGCCTGTCTGTCAGTTGTCCATCCGATAAGCCCATTTGCGCGCGGACGAGTGAGTCCCGCTTCTGCTACTGCATCGAGGAGAGCGTGGGTCTGTTTGGCGAGGTGGCAGACGTCGCGCAAGGCGATGTCAACCTTGTCAAGGGTGTCGTTAGCGGTCAGCCATCGTCCCTGTGCCTCCCTCCTGAGCTGGATCCTTGCTTCAATTCCGTCAACCGCTTCGCTGTGCCGTTCGACTGTGCCGGCACTCTGCCCGTCGTCGAGAGAAGGGAAGACATTGGGCCAGATGCACGGCAGCAGAGCTTCAAGCCGAACGAGCCGCCCCCAATGCAACAAAATGCGACGTTCGCCCAGCTGGTGCCCGGCACTTATCTGTTCGAAGACGTGCACACCGACGCCTACCTGCCAACCATCGAGAACGTGGGTACCAACGTGTCGAGCTGCATGAGGATTCAGGGCAAAAAGAACGACAGCAATGGGCTTGATGACTTCTTCCTGGACCTCTCATGCGACACGGCAGAGGGCGTCAGCGTGACCCTCCAGTTCACCTGTCCTCTTACCGGACTGTGTTCTAATCGCACCGAGAACAAACTCATGCCGGCCGTTGCAACGATCCAAGGAGTCATGGTTGTGGAGAAGGCCAGCAACCCGGCGTGCGAGGGAATTGAGGCGCAGATCGAGGTCACTTTGACTGGCTCGGTGGACGAGTCGGAGTCCCTCATTGCCCAACAATTTGACTACCAGGACCCGCAGCGGATTCTCATCATCGGCAACGAGACACAGGACGACCTCGTCATTGCACGGACTGTCGTCATACTATCACCTGCGGCGCACACGAGCCTCGGCGTCATGACATTTCCGGATGATGTGCCGGAGGGGTGTGATGTTTTACTCAACGAGCGGGTCTTTTCAGTGACTTCAGGAGAAACAAGAGCAGGCGGCGTCCTTGCGTTCGCCACGTCGGGCTATGGAAGAGACGTGTCGACGAGCGAAACCTTCCCCAAGGTACTTGATGATACATTTACACATACACGTGTGCCTGAATTTGTCTTTGCATCCTCAGAACCCCTTGGAGGCCAGCGAGTTCGCCATAGCCAACCGAGAGGCGTTTCGGGAGTGCAGTGAGATCTGCGTTGAGGCGGCAGAGACCTACTGGGAACAGCAGGAGGATGGTCTTGCGGTGTCCAATCAGAAGGAGTCGGGATTCAGTCTGGGCGCAGACCCCGAACGTCAGCTGCTCGGCGAGAAAGTTCCGACGATTCACTTTCCCCTCTTCTGGCCCGAAGAATCGCCAGACCTGTCCTTCGGCAGCGTCTTGACCGGGGACTTCTTCTTCGTCGAGGAGGGGCGGCTGAACGACACTTTAGAAAATTGCAGCGTGACAGAGTCCATGCTCGACAACATACCCATTCCCGTGTCTGTCTCTTGCGCCGTCGGCACTGATCCCATCGTGCCCTTCCGATCTTTTGAGCTCTTCAACGAGGAGACAGATGTGCAGCTCGACTTGGTGTTGAAGGGCCAATTGTCAAACCTTCAGGACAGAGAGGGTACATGTACTAGGCAGTCAGAACTTATCATCCAACATGTCCAATGTCTCTGTCTGTCTGTCTATCTGTCTGTCGGTATGTATGACAGTGCTCACAAATTGTCGCGGACCGAGATTGCAGACGTTTCCGTCCGGCTTTGGAGAGTTTGACGCGGCCTTTCTTGCAGAACTTGCCCGTACCGACATCGTTGGCGAAATCACGGCCGTCGCTCTGGCGCCCAACGGGGGGGTTCTCGGAGAGGACACGTGCGTTGCAGCCCAACTAAGGCAATCAAGTAACTTCTCGTGCCGGCATGACGGGAAGGATTTAAAAGGCGACCACAACGTCGTGGCAAGCGTCAAAGTGGTGAGAAGGGAAGGTGATGAAACGTCGGTGATATGCAAAGAAACAATAGCAAAACTCGACAACGATACGATAGCGGAAGACGACGTCACAGTCATTTGGGAACAGGAGTGCGAGATAGGATTTGAGTGCTGTAAGCTACAAGAAGAGGCGTCACTCGCCTGTCTGCTGTGTACATCCCTGTGGTTTTCTGTCTCAGTTGAGGCATGCCCCGATGCTGTTCTGTCTGCCCCACCCACAGCACAGCCGTCGATATACCGCATGACGGATATCCAGTTCAACAGCTCAGCTCTCGAAGACGGCGACGAACCACCACCTGTCGACCGCTGGTGTCTCCAACTAATAGCCGACACAGAGACTAAGACTTCTGCTACTGATAAATTCGCGCCCACAGACGAGTCGACGTATTACTTTAGCTGCGAAGGAGGGCTCGCTGATGTGCAAGTGAGGATCCGCTACGATCTGGACAGCTTGGATGGTCGCATAGCAGCAATCAATTATTCCAGCAACGATCAGCCGCAGGTGGGCTTTGCGAATGTTGATATCAAGGGGACGGTGCGGCAAGTGTGGCCCGAGGAATGCAATGGCACATTGATGTTCGTGGAAGGTAGGTACGGACACAAGGCAGAAATCGCCCTCTCATAAGTTCCTTTGCTCCCCTGTGTGTTTGCTGTGTGTAGGGACGCTCATTGGTGGTGTTTCCTTCGATCCAGTGGGCAACGAGACCCCGGACCCTGGCAAAGAGAACACCACGAGGTTCGCACCTGCGATTGCGGACTTGGGGCCTGGTGGGAACCGCACAGGGATCCTTCTTCCGGAAACGTTTGTCACTTCAAGCGTACCGATCGGAAACATGCAGTACGCCGTCCTGAATGCCAGCGATGAGTGTGACCAAAGTGCCGCCCAGAGGCTCACGTACAGGCGAGACGGCTTCACGGATCAGGGTGTTGGCTTCTTTTCTATGCCTGAATTAGAGGTAGGCACAAGCACACATACAATTGCGTCCCCCTCTGGTGCATTTGATGTTCAGATTAAGGACTCATGGGACTCAGAGGATAATGAAACCGTTCTAGAGCTCAACAGCTTCTTTAGAGTGACTGAGGAAGGAAGGAACATCTCGGAATTCACGTCGTCAATCGCAGGACGGCTGACAGAAGTGTGTGACATTGGGATTGAAGGTAAGTCAAGAGCACACATTCTCCGCCCTCGTCACGACACTCCAGTACCTGTCGTCTTCTCAGGGGTGCCAGCAGTGCAGATTCAGTGCCTTCCCCGTGAGCCCATCGTCGTTGATAGCATCGGTCTCTTCACCGAAACTGACGTCAACAACATCAACACCACCAACCTGACAATGATCGAGGGCATCGACCTGACAAGGATCGGAGACATCGAGCTGAGGTGACGCGCAGATCTGACAACATTCCATGAAGACACATGTGTTAACTATGTTGCTGTTTGGCGTTTTTGCGTTGCGTCTCTGCCCTGCAGCACTATCGCGCGAGTGCTGATCAAAGATGGCGATGATGTCAATAGTACCCTCCGCCTCTCAGTCCCATACAGCCTCGCATGTTCCGACAACGATATCGAGCGCATCAATCAAGAGACCGACGGGCGCGGCGGGTTTATCGTGCGGACCATTCCATTGACTGCCGATGTGGCTCGGATTGACACTGGCGACCTCGTTTTGCGTGTGGAGCAGGATTGTCCTGTGCTTTTAATCTGCGGTACATCGGATGGAAGAAACAGAAGGGGAGGAGCTCCAAACAGCTTGCCGCCTGTGTGTTTCGATTGTCTCTTGCTGCAGAAGATGCTAAACCCACCCCTGGACCCATGCAGCCATGAGCAACTGAGAATCGAGGTGATGTGAGTGTGTTATGGTGTGAAGTGCATTCGAGGCCCCCAATGGGTGGATACACCTCTGTTCAGCCGCACCTCCTGCTGCTACAAGGTCAGGAGACATCACGCGACAGATGCGAGACTTCTCTCATGTACGTTTTCCCAGATCTCTTCGTTCGTTGTCGGTGTCCCGCTGACCCATCTGCAATGACGGCGGGCTTATTTGTCTGCTTGTCACCTTTTTGTGCCTCTGCGGGGGCGGGTGCATGCCCTGTGATTTGTGCACATAAGAGGATAATCGTTTGACCCGCCGTTCTCTCGCTGCTGCTATACTGCAAGAGGTTTGCGGGGACGGCTATGTCAATTGATAGACAGCATTGCATCGCTTCGTGGTGTTGGGTCCGTCGATGGTTTTGTTATGAGTGTCCACATGCAATTCAACTCAGATGACTCGTTTTCGAATTGGTGTCAACACACACACACACACACGTGCTTGCCATCCATCAATCGTATAGTGCCAATGAACAGTTTTCGAGTTGGAGCGTCTATGAATATACTCCATCATCATCTCCCACAACAAACACGAGCTATACCAGCCAACTAGCACGTGGTGCGAATGTAGGCAGGCTTATGTGGCTGGTCCACGAGATTGTTGTGTGTAGAATCAGTGAGTAGGGTGATTGTCCCTGCTGTGTGCCTGCCGTGTGCCATTCATGCGTATGTCAGTGAGGTGAGAGCATTCTTTTTGAGTGCGGCAGTTTTGGTCTGACAGCCAGTGGACATGGCACGCCGAATTCACACTGACACAAACATTAACATAAGGGAAATGACGACAACATAACCAAGAGCCGCCCCAAGACCACCACACACACAGGCTGTCCACACATGCACACAATACGATGAAGGACGCGCAAGAAGTATTCTAATTGGCGATTCCGATTCAGCAGACGCACACGTCACTATGGCACAATGAGATGACACAGCAGCCCGCCATAGGGCCCGTACCCAGTATGAGTGCCTCTTGGACACGCAATCGAATCGAGAACAAATACACCGACACCTGGCCCGACCGTCGTACGACGTTTCCCCATCGGAGGTCAGTTGGCGCAGCCGGGGTTGCAACTAGCCCAACAACCCGATGAGGTGCAGCTGAAGGAGAGAGCCAGTCAGCCAGATGAGCCATGCACATACTGTGTCAGATACCAGTGGCGCTGACCTGCTGCAGCAGGGTGGAAGGCGGCGCAGAGGTGCATCGTCTGGGGCCTCGACACACCCGGGATTGCAATTTGCCCAACAAGACGGTGAGCTGCAGGAACTGCAGCACTGTAGGCGTCGCACAGGTGTGTCGTCGTGGGCACAGCCAGGGTTGCAGTTCGCAAAGCAGGAAGGCGTAGTGCAGCTGCAAAGATAGCACCACAGAAAAGCAGGCAGGTGAATAGAGAGGGGGCAATTCATCGATGGAAAAGTACCCGCTACAGCACTGCAGGCGGCGCAGAGGGGCGTCGTCGCCTGCACGAAGGAACGGCGAGGGAACGCACAGCATGACATCGTGTGAACAGATGGACGGAAGAGTGCTCGTGCGTCGTCGTGCGCGTGTGGCTGACCTTGGTGGACGTCGTTTGTCTGCTGGCCACTCAGTCGCCCCCGCAGCGCAGTCCCGCCAGACACCTCCTGAGCCAATGTGCACAACATACAGCTGACACACTGTGCCGCACGTGTGATTGCGTCCCTCCCTCACCTGTCCGAGTGCAGCACTCGTCAACACAACAGCCACAAAGAAGCAGGCACACCACATGAGCGTCATGACGACAGAGAGGAGCGGTTCTACCAAAGCGAGCTCACGTACACCGCGTAAATTTCCACTCTGGCCGCAACGGAACTTGCTCGAGCTGTGACAGACGATGAGACGGAAGCCCACAGGCACACACGAGCTCAAGTGCCTCGTGAGGGCCCGAGTTTGCTTCAGAAAGGGCAGGGCTGAATGACCAAGCGGACCAAGCATCGGTCGCATGCTGCGGTGGCTTCTCGTGGGTGTGTTGGTCGTATTGTTGAGTGAGAGGGAGAGGAGAGGTGCCGTGGGTCAGTTCACGACAGCCTGCCTCTCGGGCAATACCTTCGGACCTAGCGCTGAAGCCAGCAAAGACTGCCTGCCACGTGAGCACTCGAGGACAGGCTCCCTCCGTTGATCATTCTCTGTTTTGTGTGTGTTTCCAGCTGTCAACCCGTTGTTACAACTACCTGGATTTCCAGGCAGTGATAAACCCCTTTCGAGATGTGAACCCAATGCTCTGCTGCCCATCGTTGACCACCCCGAGCGGGGCAACTTCGGCCAGTGCCTCTACAATGAGAACGCCGAGCTCTTGCTGCAAATCCAACAGGAAATCGCCCTCAATGACAACTTGAATAATAGCAGGAGCTCAGATACGGCGGGTGACGTGACTGCGTCGGGCGAGAATCAGTCCATTTTGTGCGGGCAGCCCAGCGGCGTCAATCGCACAGACATCACTGATCTGGGAACGGCAGCTCTCGGAAGGTACACACACGTGATTGGTCGTGATGGCAACGTCGGTATGCTGTCTGTCTGCCTGTCTGTCAGCTGCCCATCCGATAAGCCCATTTGTGCCCGCACGAGCGAGTCCCGCTTTTGCTACTGCATCAAGGACGACAGGGGTTTGTTTGGTGAGGCGGCCGAGGTCTCACATGGCGATGTCACCCTCGCCAAGGGTGTCGTCAGCGGCAAGCCATCGTCCCTGTGCCTCCCTCCTGAGCTGGATCCTTGCTTCAATGCCGTCAACCGCTTCGCCGTGCCCTTCGACTGTGCGGACAGCCTGCCTGTCGTCGAGAGAAGGGAAGACATTGGACCAGACCCAAGAAACCAGAGTTGGCTGCCGAACGAGCGGTTTCCAGTGCCGCAAGAGTCGACGTTCGCCCAGCTGGTGCCCGGCACTTATCTGTTTGAAGACGTGCACTCGAATGCCTACCTCGATACCATCAAGAACGTGGGCACCGGTGTGTCGAGCTGCATGAGGATCCAGGGCAAGAAGAATGATGATAGTGGGTTCGATGACTTCTTCTTGGACCTCTCGTGCGACACGACAGAGGGCGTCAGCGTGACCCTCCAATTCGACTGCCCC